AGATCTCTCTCTTGATCTCCAAGTATCCTCAAGTTTGCTATAAAAAGATTTAGAATCTCTGAAGTCGACACAGTCCTTATACATTTTGATATCCCAAATTGGAGAGTTGGTTGGTATGTTTAGTTTGTCGGTGTTTCTCAGAAGATAGTGAGCGCTCATGGTCAAATTGTATTTCAGGAGCATACTGTAGTGAGCGCTGTGGGTCAGCAAAAGATACCAGGTCGAATCAGGTACTGGAATCTCTGGCTTCCCTTCTAAACGAGCTTCGAAAGTTGATTTGGTAAAGGCCCTGATGTCTGTGGATATGTAGGTGAGCTGAACCAGCAGCTGCCTTAAAAAATCTAGAAACCCTTGATCCGTAACATTGGGGCAATTGACAAGGCGTAGAAGCCCAAGTTTCGAAAGATCTTTGAACTTTATAGCTCGACCCAAAGTGTACAAAAACTGGTCATCTACCCAGTCGTTGTGGGATAGATCCAAGCCCGCAAGGTTTGGAGTATTGCAGAAGTTTAAAACCTGTGATTTTTCCAACTCCTTAAGCGATGAGCAATCCAAAATGACGTGGGCATCCAAGCCCGCCAAAAATCCCACAAAGTCTTTATGCGAGATGTTTGCAAAAACATTGTCTATTCTATGGCTGCGAACTGGTATCACAGCGGATGCAAGGGCAGAAGAGCGTTGACCGATATCTGTCAGATGTGTGAAATGGCATTTGAATCCAGGCATTGAGCCAAACTGTTTCGCAAACATCTTGAAAATATAAGGTGAGTCCAAATTCCACTTACAAATAACCTCCCACACATACCTCCAGCATGTCCAGGAACATGTAGTTAAGTAAGAGGGCTCCAAAGCGTCTGCGTTTTCAGCCAAGACCAGGGCACATATGTCCTTCAATGACGGTATCCTATTATGTCGATGTTTAATTTTTATAGGTTCACTTTGTGGGCAGTATTGCCACATATATGGAGCTGCTCCCGATGCATCAAAGTCAGGTTTTGGAAGTATGTGCTGATTAGGTTCTGGGGGTTTCAAAATGACGCCCTTCTTTCTGACTCTCGGACGGAAAGCTTTTCGTCTTCCTGGTTTGCGATTGTAACGTCGCCGATTGAACATCGAATAGAGTAATTGAATAAATAAGAAAGTCTGGTTGTTTGGGTTGGACCGTTATCTTGATATGTACGGGTGCGAACCTTGATGCTCATCACCAACTGGAAAGTTAGATAGAGGAAGGCTTTCTATATCAGCACACACCGGACACAAAATGAAGCTCGACACGTCGCATATGCGGTATCTTACCGCCGACGATTTTCGTGTCCTTCAAGCTGTTGAGCTCGGTTCCAGAAATCACGAGTTGGTGCCCACCCAGATCATCCATTCTGTGGGAGGTCTTAAATCACCTTCTGCTACCAACAGATCTCTCGGAGACCTTGCCAAACTTAAACTCGTGGCCCGTTTAAGAAATGCTAAATATGACGGTTGGAGACTTATGCACACGGGCTTTGACTATTTGGCCTTGAAGACCATGTTGAACAGAAACTCTCTTTACTCGGTGGGAACTACCATTGGTGTTGGTAAAGAATCTGATATTTACTCTGTGAGTGACCCCAGCGGTACACAGAAGGTTTTGAAAATCCACCGTTTGGGTCGTACTTCGTTCAAGACCGTCAAGAATAATCGTGACTATTTGAAGAACAGAAATACCTCCAACTGGATGTACTTGAGTAGACTCGCTGCGGAGAAAGAATACGAGTTCATGAACATTCTTTACAATAACAATTTCATCGTACCAACGCCATACGACTACCTGCGTCACTGTGTTTTGATGGAATGGATTCAAGGATACCCTATGAAGCATATGAAGAAGTATACCACATACAAGAAGTTATATTCTGAATTAATGAAGTTCATTGTGAAGTTGGCCAACCACGGCTTGATTCACTGTGACTTCAACGAATTTAACATCATCATTAGAAACGAACCAAAGAACGGTTACGACTTTGTTGTCATTGACTTCCCTCAGTGTGTCTCTATAGAGCACCCTGATGCTAAGTTCTATTTTGACAGAGATGTCGAGGGCATACGAGCATTTTTTGAAAGAAAGTTCAACTACGCACCTGGCCATGATGCCACCATGTTTGACACTGAGGGGTATGGTGAAGGCTACAAGTACGGCTATCCCAACTTCATTAGAGATGTCAAAAGAGAAGCTGACCTTGATACTCAGGTGAAGGCCTCGGGATGGACCTCGAATAAAACGAGGGAGAGCAGGGATTTAGAAGATGCTGTTCTGGGAATGAGAGGTTTAGACTTGGAAGACGAGGACAATGAGGCATCCGAAGTGGAAGAGGAAGAAGATGACGAGGATGACGCGGAGGATCTCTACGACGAGGAAGAATACGACGAAGAAGAGGAGGAAGAAGAAGAGGATGACCTAAAAGAAGATAACGAGAAGATTATCCAGGCCATCTCTGCGGGAGATCAGAATCTCAAAATGGATAAGTTGGGTAACTACATATTAGATGAATAGACTTACAACGATATCTTGACTTAACTTTATTGCCCTTAATAAACAGATGGAAAGGTTTTTATACACGAATTATCACATCCTTCTTATAGTTTTCCACGATGCTATGTTTAACGAGTGGCCATACCCTTGGTGACGGCTCTCTTCAAGGCCAACTCAGCCTTTCTGTAGTCCTCACCAGAAGACTCCTCAATCTCCAAGGTCTGCATGGCGTCAGAAAGAGCAGACTCGATCTTGTCCTTAGCAGACTTCTTCATCTTGGCGGACAAGACTGGGTCGGTGACAGTAGACTCGACGGATGCAACGTAAGCCTCCAACTTCTGCTTCTGCTCGTGTCTCTTGGCGAAAGCATCGTCGGCGTTCTTGAACTTCTCAGCGTCGTTGATCATCTTCTCGATCTCGTCAGTAGACAATCTACCGATAGAGTTAGAGATGGTGATGTTGGCGGATCTACCGGTGGACTTCTCAACAGCGGTGACCTTCAAGATACCGTTGGCGTCAACCTCGAAGATAGACTCCAAGACTGGCTCTCCAGCAGGCATAGGTGGGATGTTCTTCAAGTCGAACTCACCCAACAAGGTGTTCTCGGAACAGTTGACACGCTCACCCTGGTAAACTGGGAACTGGACGGTGGTCTGGTGGTCAGCAACAGTGGTGAAAGTTCTTCTCTTGATGGTTGGGACAGTGGAGTTTCTTGGGACAACTGGAGCAAAGACGTTACCCTGCATGGCGACACCCAAAGACAATGGGATGACATCCAACAACAACAAGTCCTTGGTGTCCTCGGAGGTGGACTGACCGGTCAAGATAGCACCCTGGACAGCGGCACCGTAAGCAACAGCCTCATCAGGGTTGATGGACTTCTCCAAAGACTTACCGTCAAAGAAGTCAGACAACAACTTCTGGATCTTTGGGATTCTGGTAGAACCACCGACCAAGACAATCTCGTCAACAGCGGACTTGCCGAGCTTAGCGTCCTTCAAGACCTGCTCAACTGGCTCCAAAGTAGACTTGAAGAGGGCAGCGTTGATGTCCTCGAATCTGGCTCTGGAGAGGGTAGCGTTGAAGTCCTCACCCTCGAACAAGGAGTCAACCTCGACGGTGGTAGAGGTGACAGAGGACAAGGTTCTCTTGGCACGCTCACAGGCAGTTCTCAATCTTCTCAAAGCTCTGGAGTCACCGGAGATGTCGTGACCAGTCTTCTTCTTGAAGTCAGCCTTGAAGAAGTCCAACAAGTTGGTGTCGAAATCCTGACCACCCAAGTGAGTGTCACCAGCGGTGGACTTGACGGTGAAAACACCACCAGTGATGTTCAAAAGAGAAACATCGAAAGTACCACCACCCAAGTCGAAGATCAAAACGTGTCTCTCCTTCTCGGACTTACCAGCACCCAAACCGTAAGCAATAGCGGCGGCAGTTGGCTCGTTGATGATACGCAAGACGTTCAAACCAGCAATGGCACCGGCGTCCTTGGTGGCCTGTCTCTGGGCATCGTTAAAGTAAGCTGGGACAGTGACAACGGCCTTCTCAACCTTCTTGCCAATCTTGGCCTCAGCAATCTCCTTCATCTTGGTCAAGACCATAGAAGAGATCTCCTGAGGAGAGAAAGTCTTGGACTCACCCAAGTACTCAACCTCAACGAGGGGGTTGCCGTTAGACTCGACAACCTTGAAAGGCCAGGCCTTGATGTCCTTCTGGACGTTCTCGTCCTCGAAAGCACGACCGATCAAACGCTTAGCATCGAACACAGTGTTCTTTGGGTTCAAAGCGGCCTGGTTCTTGGCAGCGTCGCCGATCAATCTCTCCTCAGCAGTGAAAGCGACGAAAGATGGAGTAACTCTGTTACCCTGCTCGTTGGCGATGATCTCGACAGCGGAGTCGTAAGTAGCAACACACGAGTAAGTGGTACCCAAGTCAATACCAATAGCACCCTGGAAAACACCGTCAGCCATTTTTGATAATGTGAACTAAGAAAGAAGTGGTGATGGAGGTGAAAAAATTTTGGTGCGGGTCCTGAAAATTTTGCATCCAGTGGGCATCTAGGAACCGTTGGGTACACCCGTACATCTCTCCTTTCCCTCTGCGGGTGTTACCCGACCAACCACTTGGCTCAACCAGCCGCTGAGACAAAAGTGGTCTCGTAAAGGGCAACAACCTTTCTTCTTTATTTATTTTTTGAATCTTTTTATTTCTCATGATGAAGAGGAAGTAGGCACGGAGCGCCCAATTGAATAAATTAAGTTTATAGCAAGGCTGTTAATCATGCCTCTAGACCATCTAAATGGCCAGGCTATTGACGTACGAGCAATTGCAGTCGTGGTAGCGTTGAAGGATATAAGATCCTTCCTTTTTTCCATCTCATTCACCAGACGACTAATTATCATCTCATCATTAGACTTCCTCATTAGGTTAGTCGTACCATATTACTTGCATCTATGGCTGCGAAATGCAGTCGGGGCCGCCAACGCTAACCCGTTTAATAGCTTATGAGGAGCCGTCTTATCAAAGACTTTGCCTCGGCCACTTGCGAGTCTGTTCCTTTTAAAACTAACTCCTGTTGGTACTCGCTTCCTGACATTCCCTTCAACTGCATGAGTTTAGCTGGGGCAATGGGTGGGATGGTGATCTGGCAGCATGACTGCTCTCTAATTCTCTCGATTCGCTTTCCACAAGATCCAATGATGTAGGATATCTTGTTTCTTGGAAGTAGCACAGTATCTGTAATCTCATGAGAGCTGCCAGGTCTCAATTCCATCTCCAGATCTGGTGATACCTCCTCAATCAGAGCCGGCGGCGTAAGCTGGAATAGCGACATGCTACACAAGGCGGAGCAACGAACCCACTCTCTTGGAGCCACAACTCCTAGAGCGTCAATGCCACCGTTCAATGATCTGTCACTGTTGTGAATGCTATTCAACAAATCACCAAGGATATAATCGTTGCCTGCTAGGACGATCTCCCACAGATCTGGTGCCAACTTTTTCATTTCGGCAAACGGGGATTCATATGGCGTTCTTGTAACAAGAGTTGCTTTATGCTGAATCTTCTTCACCACCTCAACCACCTCACGCGTGGAGAAAGTGGATTTAATGTAGTTCATCACCTCCATTTCGAACATGGGAAGGTTCACTTGGAAAGCGAGTTCTGTCAGGGAATAAACAAGAATTTCAGTGCTAAAGGAGCCGCAATTCATGATATGTAAAATTGGGTTGAAAGTGGGTGCTGTTTTAATTGACATAATTTGACGGTCAAGTTTTTGCAGCCAGGCGCACCCTAACCCAGATGAAACAAGCCCCACGCATTAGCCCGTCGAGCTTGAAGGACCCTTTGAACTCCAAATATTAAAATGAACTGGCTTTTCAAGGTAATCGGAATTTCTTCAATTGAATTTTTTTCTCCCTTCCTCATTCACTTGCCCCTCCAGTATCCCTACAATCTGCATCGAATTCTCATTTAGACATTATTTATCAGCCTCTATGCATCTTTGGCAGTGCTCTTTTCCTCATATAGCCGCCTGGCTACACCGTACAAAAACATGTACTGGTAGACTGTCTGAACCATCATCATCCTTTGGTTGCGGAGTTTGGTCGTAATATCGAACACAGGGTCATCAATGTCCAGCGCAAAGAAAGTAGGCCCATTGAGCAAGTAATCTATGGCAATGTATGTGCCTGTTCTTCCCACACCAGCGGAACAGTGAACGATGGGTGCTATTTGAGGGTCCTTCTCGGTGATTTTCCGAATCTCCAAAGAGAGAGCGAGAATTGGGTCCATCAGATCGGGAACCTTGTTATCCTCCCACTTCTGGAAATAGAAATGGAGGACCTTCTTGGAGGTGGTCGGTGAGTCCAATGTGAACTCTGAGAGAATGAGGTCTCCGTTGTGAATTCTTTCGCTGCTCTTCCATGTAAGCTTCAATTCCCCAGGCGATATACCTTCAGCCCTCAAGGTCTCACTGAAATCCCAAGTGGGGTCTTTTGCATTGGGCCAGTAGTGGCTGCACTTCTCTCTTCCATTCTCAACCAAGGGCGTCATCATCGCTACCACCACGGTATCAACTTTCTGCAATTCAGCCTGGTGGAATGCCATAGCCCAGAAGTGTGGAATTGTATTGAGCAATGGGCCCTGAGCGGCGATGTAGTTGAACCCTCCGGCCAAGTTGATATGAGACGCATTGATAAAGTCTGACCTAGCTCCAGGAAGTACAGGTAAAGCAACCCTAGTCTTGTCGTACGGGAACACATTCAGGTACCTGTTCCTCTTGGCATTAATCTTCTTCTGTCCTTCTAGCATGGCCCACTCAGAGTCCACTTTTTCGAAAGCATCGTCTAGATGTTCGTCACAGACTTGAGAGATTCTGAGAAACTTAGCTCTCTGCTCTGCGGGGCTCAATTTGAGGAATGCCGGTGCTGAGGACATGTGACGTTTGAAAAGAAACCGGAGTGGACTCAATGCGATTGTGCAAGAAGGTACAACTGGTATATCCAGTGATTTGCTGTTGGCGATGTGTGGGCTCTAAAAAGTGAATCTGCAGTCCAAAGCAGGGTCTTGCAGATGCGTTGTAGGAGCCATTTCAGAGGTCCAAGAAAAAAATATAAATTTTTCAACCAGCATCGGTCGATCTACGCGGTTGCAGAAAATGCTTTCATTGGCTTCCTTTACTACTTCCTAGACACCAGCCTAGACCAAGAGGGAGTAGATCTGGCTCTTCAAGTTCTCATCAACCTCGGGCTTATCTTCAAGAACACCGGCGGTTTTGAGCACCTTAGATGTGTTCAGTACCACTCTCTCCCAGTCAATCTCCTTCTCGCCCAATTGCTCGTTGAACTTCACAGTCTTCAACCACTCGCGAGCATCTTCTGCGGAGTAATCGAGGTTTGTGGAGATGTGCTTGACAGCTTCATCGGGATTCTGCAAGAAGAAGTCCACTCCCTTTCTGACAGCTCCAAGGAACTTTTTCACCTCCTCGGTGTCAGTCTCTTTTCTCACAGTCACCACCCACGAGGGCCAAGGTGTGTAGATTTCACCAATTCTCTTGATCTCGCCAGAATCGTAGTATTTCTTTGATGTGAAGTGCTCCCACATGAATGCCTCCGCGTGCTTTGGCTCACCGTCCTCAGTGAACTTCTCATTCACAGCGTCTCTCAAGTTCTTGAAGTTTGACAAAACAGGGAAGTCACTGAAATATGGAGTGGGGAATTTGAGTTGGAGACCAAGAACAAAGGACATCACATATGAGCCCAGGCCAATTCTGGATACACCGATTCTCTTTCCTGCTAGCTCCTCTGGTTTCGTGACATCGTCTCTATTAATACCTGAAGAGATTGCCCAGCAAAGCGGACTTTCAACATAAGTGCCAACAACGTTGATTTTATCGTTACCCTTGCCGATATCGCTGACAAATGCCTCTGTGAGTCCAATTGCCACATCCACTTCTCCCTCGTTTAGAAGCTTAATGAGTCTTCCGCTACCCTCAATTACAGGCACAAACTTCACTTCAATTCCAGCTTCAGCGTAGTAGCCATTGTCTTGAGCGAAAAACAAAGGCGTCAGGAAATGTTCAGGGATATATGCTACCGTCAACATGGTGCCGATGCTCACAAATCGATTGATCCTCTCATACATACTCAGGCTGTGGAGAAATTGGTGCACGTGACAAACCCACCAGGAACCTACACTAGATTGTCTACGCCGTAGCATTTATATATACCCAAGACCCATGATAATTACGCCTAACGGCCAAAGTCGAGGACACATCGATTGAGTGACTCAAACGCCTGGTACGGCCGCACCACGCCGAGAGGTCTCCCAACAAGCAAATGGCCCCATACCATACTCTACCTTCAGCAGCAACTCAGGGAGTTGGTTCTTTGTTGTGCATTGCCGCTCAAATCGATTCTGCCGCCCTCTTGAGGTCTGGTGGCCTCAGAAGCCTGAGGCTTGGCCTCGGGGATCTTGGAGCCGATCGCCACAAAAACATCGTTCACATTGTGAGACGTCTTGGCCGAGGTCTCAAAGAACAATAAGCCCTCTTCGTCTGCCAACAGTTTGCCTTCCTCTGCACTCACCTTACGCAACGAGTCATCGTCATCGTCATTCTCGTCAGCAACCAAGTCATACTTGTTACCCACCAACGCTATAGTGATATCCTTCGATGCCTGCTCGTGCAACTCCTTGACCCAGTGTCTAGCCTTGATAAACGAGGCTGGTTTGGTGATGTCGTAGACGACCAAGGCCGCCTGGGCGTTTCTGTAGTACATGGGTGCCAAAGAAGCAAATCTCTCCTGGCCAGCGGTATCCCAGATTTCGTATTTGATTGTTCTTTCACCGATGGTACACTTTTGAGTGAGGAAAGCAGCCCCAATAGTAGGCTCCTTGCTTTCCTGAAAGTCGTTGGACACAAATCTCATTACGAGGGAGGACTTGCCGACGGCAGCCTCTCCTAAAAGCACCAACTTAACCGAGGTAGCCGAGCTCATGGTGTATATTCAGTTTATGGGGTTTGGGTGGCTAGAATATCGAGTGTGATCTATGTGGGTCAGGAGTTAACAGGGCGGTACTTGTAGCGCTGGTCTGTGTGCACTACCTCTAGCGATAAGATTGCCAGGTTTGCAGCAGCCACCCGAGGGGCAACAATAACGACATCTTCAAAAATTATCTTTGCAATAATTTTTCGGAGAAAATTTTGTTACAAATAGTTGCGGGCTAGGCGACACCTTTCCGGGTACTTTGGCAGAACAGATGAGTTGATGCCGCATATTCTCATGACATGTGGGCAGTAGCACTGGCATTCAGCGGTATGCCTCTTGCGCCTAAGGGCATTACATACCGCAGGACTTTTCACTGACTTTGAGCATTGTCTTCATTTTCGGGAAGCTCTTCTGGCAAATCGACAATTTCACATGATTCATGAATGAGGCTCAGTGGCGAAGCGAGCAGAAGGCGGCCTGGCGCCATTAGGGGCCAATCTGTGACTCTGCGTTTACAATGATTGTAACGTTTGGGCATAACAAGGGGGATCTGGAAAAGAAGTCGAGGATTCCCGTTCATTGACGAAAAGCTGGTAAAGCGATGAATCTGACTGCATTGACGTCGGTACAACAGCTTGCACTGCCAGGGGACGCCATTAACACGCCGGTCAAACTGATTCGACATTTTTTGACATCGATTCGAGAATAGAGCTGTTTTCATGTTTAAGCCGATAAAGGTCAATTTTGACCAAGTTTCCATTGTGGAAGGCTCGTTAAGTGCACCTCACTGTTCGCCTACGCAAGTCGAGACGCAGGGCCGATTTCGCAGCCACACACACAGGCTTCACAGATTGAAACACACCAAAGCATCGCCATGGCTTAGACCTCCAGCTCTCGGGTGAAGAAGTAACTTTACTTTCTCGATTCGTTTTCGCTGGAATCCTTGTTTGCAGTCGACTCTGCGTTTTTTGTGGCCACATTTGTTATAGGTCTCTTTTTCGCAACCCAGAACTCGGCGTCATAAACAAAGTTCCCAAGGGCCTTGGGGTCGCCGCAGTACGTAGTTTTCACCACATCCTGCTCCTCAACCTCAAATCCCATTCTCTCTACGAGACCGATCAATTCGTCCCTCGTCAACTCCATGCCTTCCATTATTGAGTGTGCTTTCTTCCCATCCTTCTCGACCTCAATTGTCCCCAGATCCCCCTCGTAGTGCCAAAGCGTAGGTCCCATATTCACCCAGTAGCCTCCTTCACGAAGGCAGTGGTGGATCGTCTTGATATAATCTAATACGTTGTGGGCAGTGTCCAAAAAGAAGCATGTAGCCACGACGTCAAAGGCTCCTTCATTCTCCCCTCTGAAGTCACTAGCAGCAGCATCCTCAGTGTAAGCCTCGCTCACAGCTAAATCGCGAGGACCATAGAGGTCTACAAAGGACCCTGCAGCCATAGACATGAGATCTGCGGCATCAGGGTTCTCGTAGATAGACGTTGGGGTCTCGTCAGGAACAGAGACGGGGCGTACTTGAAACAAACGTCTCAGAACATGCAGCAGTTTAAAGATATAAGGAAACACCGTGTGTGAGTGTGCCATGGGCATCCGGTTTAGCACATATCCCAGTGCTAGTAGCATATGATAGCTCACCTCATTCCCTTGAGTCCAGTAACCCTTGCGTACAAACTCGAACACAAGACGTCCAAGGCCGCATCCAGGGACAAGAACCTTACCGTTTTTGATTCTTTTTTGTACCGCCTCTAAAATCTTGTTGTAGGTTGTTTCCCTCTCTACCTCACCATCGCTACTCCACTCTCGGGCAAGTTGTAGAAGCGTCAGCCGTACCTTATCATGATCTTGTGGGGTACATTTGGTCCATTGGTCTGGTGATGCAGTAACACCCCAATCCTCGGCAGCAGTAAGAGCCAATTGCTTGGTGAATGAATCGTTGATTCCTAAGCATTGTTCGAGATTGCTGAGAAGCTGGGGATAGAAATCCAAAAGATTTTGCTCATCGGACGAGAGGGACTTGTATTTTATCAGTTTAGGCTTGTACACTTGCTGATACAGCCAGCGGTCGAATGTGTAGAACGCATATAGCGTGGAGGTCAAGGCGTTGTACTCGTCCATAAGAGTGGTTGATACGCGCGCTACTACAAGTATAATCTCCAAACCCATATTTCATAATAAATAAGTATCAGAGTTCCGGAAACAAGTCATGCTTCAACAAGCCATTGGCCTGGAGCAGGAGCATGTCAACCTCGCCGTCAGCTCCATCATTTTCTGGAGGACGTGGGGTTGCCAATTTGGCTCCGGGACTCTGCGGATCCACTATCTGCGGATAGTGGGACAGCGTAATATATGTATCCTTAAATGACAGAATGGGGTATTCCAGAAGCCCAATGAGCTCATGGAATTCCTGCCTCGTCTCTTCGATATTGGTAATCGATTTCCGCCACTCCACAACGTTGTAGATGGGGATCATTTGCCGAACTTTCTCCTCATACACCAAATTACGGTACAAGATTGCCGTTCTGATGGTGAGGAAAGTAATCAAACGCACACAGTACGCAGCCAAGTACTGAAGTTCGGGTACAAACTCGTTGTACAAATCATGCGGTACTGAAGCACGGCTCAGGTCCTTGAGCTCTTCCAAGATCGTCGTTGTGTTGTAGTTGGCAAACACATCCAACATGAGCGGCGAGTCAAAGTCTCGAAGAAAGAGGAAACGAACTTGCGGAACGACCGCAAAAATCGCCTTTCGAAACACTCGGTAGAATAAGTTGAGCACTTTTTCAAGTCCCTCCGCACACCCGTTAGCTGCCAAAAACCTTGGAGGCTGAAGCTTGGACCAGCGATTGAACATAGTGAAGAGGACGTCTTCCTGGAATTCAATGTCGTCCATGTGCGAATCCAACGCTGGGAGGTGGTGTCTGATGGAATCTTTTGAGAACAGCAATAAATCGTTATATTTTCTTCTCAAAAACACCAAGTTGCCACCACCATGCATCAGTGCCCGCTCAGCACGATCAATAAGGGAGCCAAATCTCGCAAACATGCTTTCAAACTCGTACAAAAACAGTGTCCCATAGCCTGGCAAGTACACCGTCCTCGCAACATTTGTCATTAATTGCAAATGAATCGGGATGAGTCTAGGAGGTTCGATACCCTGTCGAGTTGACTGATGCAACGTATAACTAAGCACCAGGAACATGCCATCACGGAAGCAGGTGGTCGAGTGTGCCGTGGCACCTGGATCGTAAATTGACATGAGCGACAAAATGTATGACACTGACGCTGCCATCTCTGGATCACCATGATGATTGAGCAATGAGCGCAATCCCTTGATCACAGTTGCATAGTGTTGAATCAGGTGAACCAAGAGCATGTTTCTTGTTTTCGTAAGCAGCACAAGAGCATCAAACCGAGTGTCCAGCTCTGCTGAGAAGACATTCGTAATGAGATAATTCGTTGTGAGGTTTATCAAGCACAGAAACATCACACCCGACTTGAATGCCTTGTAGATGAAGTAGCCGATCCAAACATGGTACAAGCTTCTGATCTCAGGTAGAGTAGACACACCTTTGGCGATTCGTGGCGCCAACGTTGCGGTAGTGTTGTAAAGAAGCTCCTCGTAATTGGTAGTATGTCTTGCTCGCACTTTAAATCTCTTACGAGAAACTTGTGCTCCTGGAAGAGCTGGTCCCGGTGATATCGGCACAAACGAGGGAGCCGAGTCAGTCGATATCAAGCTCATTGATCGACGTGTAACCTCAGGAGAACGAAATACATCCCTGGCTGCTGCAAATGGGCCTGTGGGTCCCTGTGACCGTTGATACTGCAAAAGATCCAGGATATTATCCGTTCCAGGATACTCGCCCTCCCATTCCATGTTACCTGGAGTAACAGAAGAGCTGTTGTGAATGGAATACACTGGGTAGATAATCTGAGTCGCGTCTCCCGTGGTCAACAAGTTGTCAAAATTCTGGGTAATGGCGTTATGCTGAAAATTGAGAACATCCAGAACACCACCAGGAAGAGTGCTTTGGCCCGGAACTTCGTGATTCATCCCGATCAAGACATCGTCAGGGATATGGTGGTCCAAGAAGTTCTGATTCTCCATGGGTAAGATATCTGTGTCCAATGCCATCAAATGTACCGGCTCCTCGTGGAAGTCGGAGTGAGACTTCTCCCGAGCAGATGGTTCGCCATCATCTAGACGAAGGCTAGCGAGGCCCTTTCGATCAGACTCCTCGGCCTCAGCCAGAGCCTCTCTCGAAAAAGGCAGGTCAGGTTCATTCTTGACCTCGGGTTCCTTCTTGACCTCTGAAGGGGGTTTCTTACGCCGTAGATCCTGATCGGACAGTCTTTCGTTGATTCTGTTGTCAAGCCTCTCACGATTTTTCACCTGAGCCAGCTTGGCTCTGTGGAAGTCCTCGAGCTGTTTTTCAGTATAGTCCAAATACTCGCAGCGTGCTCCATGCTTAATACAATTGGTGCAAGCGGGCAAATTTTCAGGACACTTGACTCGACGGCGCTTACAGGTGGCACAACCTAGCTTGCTGTTTTTGTGTTTTTTTCTCGAGGGCCCTTTCTTATCCTCGCCCATTAATGTATGTGAACCCTTTGGCTGTTGGAATGTGGAGACTGGCGGCAATCGCGCACATAGTGCGGACACACGGCTATATAAAGTAAGCTCTGCTTTGAACGAGCCCGGATGCAAGATCTCCAACAGACAGCAAAGGGCTACTAAAACGGGCATGCATCCTTGCATCAAAGTGAGTCATGAAACGAGAAAAACAACAATATAATGGATCGTATTCGCCTCCCTCATTGCTAGCCCTTTGTTGAATGAAATATCCTGTCTGGACTAGCTGCGATGGTCCGACTGAGTCAGCGCCAAGTCATGAAAGTCACTTAAGCGGTTATTCCCACATCTGAGGAAAGAAGGATCGCACCGTGTTTTCGCAGCCATGCCCATCGCATCTAGGCATGCAACTACCCTTTCCTCATTATTGGGGGACCGTGGGGGCGCCTTACTCGGAGTTACTGGTGACAGTTGGCCGAGGATCCCCAAGAAAGCGTGGCTTTTGGTAGCGTAAAATGCAGATGGAATTTCGGAATGGTGTGCCTTTCCTTCAACTTTCTCTTCCTTTTTTTTTTTTTTTTCTTCATAATAGCCTCGGTCCTTCTTACGTCCGTTCCGTCCGTTTCCGTCCCCGTACGCACTCTGTCCTATTTAGGACTATATGCTACAGCTGACTTCGCTGATGTGCATTCAAACCGCCAGTTTATTTTTGTTGATGGCATTGATGAGCTCGTTTCCGCTTTTTGAAAAAAGTTCACCGAAAACACGCAATTCCTCAAGACCAGGCGATATCTGTGTCATCAGCTCGGCCTGCCTCTTTCTCATGTATACCTCCAAAACCTTGTCCGGTTGGAAGTCATGATTCAGTAGACCTTTCACATAATCAAAAATGCAAGGCTCAGTACGTCTGGCGACTGCCTGCCGGTCGAGCTCCTGCCGAAGTGTATGGTAGCATTGCGGATCTTGCGTTATGTCATCGAAAATCGGGAAATTCTGGACCTCGAGCGTTCCCGTTATGAGATTAGCGGGCTGCATTTCGGCGACGCGAATCTTGTCGAGTCCGAGTCTCACAATATCTTTATACTCAAAATCAGCGGGTGCCATTTCTGCTACACGATGAATGTAGTCAGACACCAAAGTGTGGCCAATATGGTACCCAAAAAGTGCTTGACGGAATTCGAAAAACTTGATCATCCGCACCAACCCCATGTCAATTGAATATAATGCTTCAAACTCGTTCATATATTCATAGCGAGGCTGCGGAACTTCGAAACCGTACTTTGGAGCAATGACATAACATGGATCCAAGAGCATGACACATCGTATTGGTGGGATGCTTTGAGCCATGGCCCTCCCAAGAGCATGGAAAAACAATGAAAGGCACCTGTTCAAAATGCTTGTGTTGGGGATCATTGAAAATTTGTCTCCCCTGAAGACCCTAAACCAGTCGTATGTCAAGTTGTAAATGAGGGTGGGGGACACGAACTTGTAGTCCTCCACCAGAGGATCAATACCATGCAAGTTCTTAAAGTGGTTGTTGATGGTTCTCATTTGAGGGATGTATTCATGCTGAAGCTTCTTCAAAAACGAAGTCATCTCATGGACATTGTGCTTGAAAATAGGATTCTGCAATGTCTCCACCGTGAGAGGCTCGTACTTAACGAGTCCATTTTCATGGTTGTAAAGGAGATCACTCACAATTCTTTTGTATGAGCTAAATGTGTTGGACAATTCAGTGATAGCAGTGATCAGAAAGTCCGGGATGATTGATGCAGTGGAATGAAGATTTAATATCATAATTTCTTGTCTCACGGCCATGCTCACGTCATCAATAGTGGATGCATCTGCGAGTAGTCTCGTCGCTAGCGTGAGGGCACCAGTAAACATCATGCAAAGTGTGGAAACATCAGATGAAGTATTCCAAAAGCATGCCCATGCAGAAAACATGGACATCTTGATGGGGAATTCCTGATGATAATTGGCAGTCGATTCACGCAACGCTCGTAAGAGTCTTCCGTATGTGACATACAGCAAACGATTGAGTCTCTTGAGGTCATCCGGGTTGTAAAAAAAGTCGGAGTATCTATTTCCTAAGCTTGCAGGACTTAGACTTTGATTGCTCAACGGAGAGGAGCTTGTGGACGTCAGACTTGCGGATGACTGATTACTGAAGTTTTCAAACTCCCGGTTCACGATGATCTGCGCGGTTCTTTTGGAAATGTTCACAGCTTTATCGATGAAGTAAACAAAATACAAGTTGAGAATGGATGCCTGATTGAATATGGCAAGCCAAAATTGCTGGTAGAGCTGATCTCTCCAGACCGGCTGGATGATGGCGGTGAACTTATCGTTTGTGAACTCGCGAACGTCAAGGCGACCGTTTTTCAAGCCGCGCAAGGCATTCTCAAGAAAGGGATTCTTGAGAGAGGGAGGAACAACAGTTCTGGCGAATCTAGTTGTCTGAATGACTGCGTGCGGTAGGGGAGTTCCCTTCCTTCTGAACTGGGACGGACTCCGCCTTTTGTGTCCGCTTTTAAATTCATCATTAATCACCGGCGATATTTCGCGCTTTATCTTGTCGTTGATTTGCGGAGACAGTTCATTAGAACTGTTGAAGTCGATTTTGAAGCTGGATGTCTCCGCGTGGTTATTGTCTGTGAAGTGAGATGGGGTTTCGAAGTCTGAGCGTTCCGTGCCTACGTCCATTTGAGATTCGATGTAGCCTGAACCGCCGAAATCTAGATGCGTGGGCCAGTATGCATTTTCCATCGATAGGTCCGGTAGGTCTGGAGCAACGGAACTTTCAAACATCGTCAGCAAGTCCTGCCAGGGTTTGAGCTCGGTGCGTTGCATCTCACGAATGACGCTTATATCGTTGTTGTTCAAATCGCTGAAGATAGCGGAGTACACCTGGGACCTGAAGTTCTCTGAGCTGTTGGTGAAGACCGATGGGGCCCTCTGGACACCATTAGAAGGCTTTTTCAGCCGTAGCGTAGACTCCAGGGAAGACACCGGGTTCCTGCCCGAGCTTCTCTTGCCCAGATGCGTGTCCAGCAGCGATGTGGGTTTGTCCGACAGATCCAGCGGATCTAGGAGGTGCTTCTGCTCGTTCTTCCGTCTTATATGGTCCAAGCGGTCCTGGGGGAAGTCAAGGTAGCCGCATCGGTATTTCTTCTTAACACAGTTGGAACAACTAGGGAGTTCCTCCGTGCATTTGATTCGTTTAGCCCTACAGTTCGGACAGCCATCTCGCGAGTTTTTATGGGTTCGCCTTGTCTTTCTCTCTGGCTTGACCATGCCTGGAGATCGCGACATTTGCTAGGGGCGTATAAAATAGCGGTAATTTTGTATTGGGTTTCTTGTGGAAGTGCCGAAAGTGGCAAGCAGCTAGTGATTGTGAAGGAAAAAGTAGGTTTATTTCGGACTCCAGATATGTCTGGTCTATAGAGTGCGGTGCCTCGCTGATGTTAGAGACTGCGGTGGACAGGTTTTCTAGTGTTTATTGCCAGAGGCAGTTCCCTTTTGTCGTGCTGCATGCAGCCGATGGTCTCGCAAGCGCTCTTAGCGTCCAAGAGAGCAATACGGTACCGGAGAGCCTGGTGTTCTTGGCGATGTCTTAGGATTTAAGGAACACAAAGCCAGAAGTTTTTTTTATTTTTTTCTTTCTTTTTGTTTCAGTACCTCGTTCCTGAAAGCATGCGCAAAAGCAACAGACTGCCCCCCAGATGCGGCACAATTGGGGGTTTAGTTCGCCAGCGGCAAGGGCTCACTAGTGTGAAGGATCAAGTGGCTCGAAAGGACAGCGGTTGTCCTGCTTTCTCCATAAAAGCCGGTACCACAGCGCCTCGGCCGATAACCCGCAGCGCCGAGAAACTTCTCCTTATATTTTGTGCTTGGCTGAAAGCTTTGTGCCGAGTTTTGACAGCCTTTTTCGAGACAGGGCTTCATGCCTTATCTACGAGTGCTGGCTTTGTTCGAAAGCCGTGCTGCGGGCGCAGCGACTCGTGTGCATCACCCGACGCACCAGGGCCTATGGCTGCGAACCGACCGAGCCGATTTTGCCAAACACGCATTTGAAGCTTCGGCGATTTACAATTCGTAGTCTTCGGTGAACCCTTGACCTTCGAGGTCCGCCAAATGGCGCATCGTGGGCCGCCCGTGGGGACAGTTCCATGGTTTATCGAGCTCCGCTAGATGCGCCACAACCGTGCCCATCGTGCCTCGGTTGAGCGCTTGCCCCACCATTATACTCAGGCGGCATGCTCGCAGAGCGATCATCAGATCCACCTTGTTGCACCGTACAATAGACCCTTGCGTAGGCCCGACGTCATGAAGGCGCTGTACTAATTCGTGGAGGTCACTGTCGTCGAAAACCACGTTCTTCAGCACCGGCACTGCCACAAGCTCCACCCGCTTGCCGGGTGTTTGCTCCTGCGCTTCTCTTACTACAAAGCCGTTCTTGCGTAGCTGCTCTTGCTGGTCGAGAACAAGCATCTCGTCGATTGGGGAAAGCTCCAACACGCGAGGAATCACAAGCGGTTGCGCTCGAAGCAGAAGCAGTCGATAAAGCCTTTCATAGTTGAAGATCTCGTCCGACGCATGCTGGTCCACTATGAAAAGCCTCTCCTCGTGCTTCACCACAATGAAGCCAAGGTTGAACTGTCCGACAACCTCCATGAGCGGGAAGTCCAGCTTCTGAATCACAAGTTTCTCCCTCACATCGTGAACATTCACCAAAGTAGCTTTCTCTTGTTTGATTTTCTCCTTCTTGATTTCTGGCACAGGCTGGATACAACTGCTCAAATCGAACTTGTCTAGCTTGAGAACCCTGCTGATGCCCTTGACGGGTTCGCTATAGGACGTCTTTTTTCCGGGACTTGTGAGGGGACGGTCCGCTGGTCCAAGCGCCGATCCAACTGAGTGAGTCGGGAGTTGGCTCTCATCAACCTCGAACGTCTCATCATGTAGCGAATGTTTGCAATGGTGGCCTTCGTGGTCAGAGTTCACCCCGTCATCTGTAGCACCCACAGTAGCATTGGCTTCTTCTTGCAATGGTTTTGTTGTGGATTTATCTGCTTCATGGTCACTTGTGACACCCGTGTTATCGCCGTCTATTGTCTCATCTTGTTGCACAAAAAGCTGCGCTTCTTCAGTCAACAAGAAGCTATCATCTGCGGCGTCATCAGACACATGTATATCGTCGCCTCCCATTGTCAATTCTATCACTTCCACGGCATTTTCTGGGGCCGCAAAATCATGCTCTCTCTGATCTGGGTGGAGCTCGACTTGCGGAGACTCGTGGCGCAAACCTTCAATTGATTGGTTTGAGTGTTGATCGATATCACCACACTGATTTGGCAGTTTTGCTTTCTCTTCCGATAGACTGACATTTTCATAAAGATTTTCCACCCTCTCCTCCTCAAGCTCGTTTGCTTCCTCTTCGTCCTCGTCATCTTTTTCCTCGTCCATCTGCACTTGTTGATCGTCTTCATCATGTTCCTTTGGATTTTCCTCTTCCTCTCGATGTGACTCTTGTTCCTTATCCGGCTCTTCATCATCTGCTTCCTCTCCTTCGTGCATATCAATGGCAGTGGAATTATTAGATCCAGCGTCTTTCACAATAGTATCGCTATTGCTAGAGAATGTGTCAGTTAATGACTTGGATGTTATTTGTTTCAAGCGCTTTGATTTGTCGTCGGCAGGCCTATCGGACAGTGCCTTCCGCTTTCCATCGAGGACATCCAGGCCGGAGCCTAATCTCACAACTCCAAGGTCACTTTTAGGTACCATGTTATGCATACCGTCATAGAATTTGGTCACCTCCTCCCGTAGAACCTCGCCTAAAAGATCCTCATTTTGTACCATGACGCTTCTCTTATCTGGTGTAACATTAATATCGACGAAAGTCTGGTCAATCTCAATGTCAAGGACAAAAACTGGCAGCTGCGTGTGATTGAAAGTCTTGTAAACCTCATTAAGTATCTTCGTGAACTTTTTGTGTACCACTGGCCTCTTATTAACGTATAAGAATTGCCTATCCAGTGCTCCTCTGCCCATGCCGAAGGAATAATCCAGTATAAGGCCCTTTAGACGGAATTTTAGCGATACAGGCACACTTGTCATCCCAAGTTTAAATCTGGCTTCAATATTCTCGGTGGCAATGTCAATAGGAATGAGACCATGGGCGCCATTGCTTCCATAAACACTCACAAGTGTGTCAAATACGGATGCTCCTCTTCCCTGAGTTCCCATCACCATCGACTTCTTCCCAGTATTGCCACTTATTTGATATACAACAAAACGTACATCTGTATAGAGCAAGAGATAGCCCACTAAGAGCGACAAGGCCTTCGAGTATTCTTTCTTTGCGTTCTTGGCAAAATACTTTTGTCTTACTGGCAAGCCATAAAATAGGTCATGAACGCTGACAGTTGTACCCTTCTTCCCGGAAACAGCCACATTTTGAGACGTCATTTTACCCATGCTGTCGTATTCAAGTGTAGCCGCTTTAGGGTATGTGGAGGCAGTACAAGTTGTAATCTTCACTCTTGCCACAGCACATAAGGAAGCCAAGGCTTCACCACGGAAGCCCAATGTAGAAACCGATTCCAAGTCCTCGAAATTGGAGAGTTTCGAGGTGTGATGCTTCAAACATAGGGCCTCGTAGTCATCCTTATCTATCCCTTTGCCATTGTCAATGACATCAATGCCTTTGATCCCATAATCGTTGAAGACAATCTCAATCTGTTTACTCCCTGCGTCAAGTGAATTATCAACTAGCTCCTTTACAACGGACTGTATCTCTATGATAACCTGTCCTGATGTGAGCTTGTTCACGTCAGTCGCGTCAATAGACGTGATGGGCATCTCCGCAACGAGAATTTGGCAGAATCAAAAACTATGCTTAGTTAATCGAATTGAAGGAATCAAGTACCAGCTGAATTGAAACGCGTTTGATAAGGTGGATGTTGGAAATTCTTGTGATCTTTGTGAAGTTGTGGAAGTTGTATCACGTGCGGAAATCACGAATTCTGTGCTACTGATAGACACTATCAACTAAGATATTGTTTTGCTGTATTTCGAGCATCTTGAAGTGAATGTCCACATTGACTGTACCTGATGTTCTTATAGCACTAAGAGACTTCATTTCCATCTGGATTTCTCAAATAATCTATTTTAACCATATTTACCCAGATGATGCCTTCAGCAAGAAGCTGTATCTTGACCTTGTGGTCTATCAATGCAGAGCACCTGAATTAAATGAGTATATCGAGAGATTTGCGATAGACATGATCACTGTCTTGGTTGAAAAGGACGGAGGGGGTAAGGTCTATGACGTTTTGGTGTTACTATATGATGAGACTAACCTTCATGTACGGCAGCGATATATTGCCAATTTTAGCCAGTTCCCGGGGCTCAAAGGCCAATACTCTTCGCTTGACTTTCTTCTGAACCCAAATCTTCTCAAAGATACGCAATCTGCGAAGATCAACATCCCAAACTTCACGCGAGGGGTGGTGAACACCAACTTGCGCAGCCTCATGTTTTTCCACATTGAGGAGCTCAAGAGAACGGAGGCTCCTCAGCCAAACGACTTCTTCTTTAAGCTTTTGTTGAATGTCGATGGTGAGAATGATCTCAACAAAGTTTCCTCGCTGCCTTCACCGTGGATTAGACTAACGCTGGAAAAAGATACACAACGCACAGTTTTCGTTCCAGTGGGGGATGTCAGCATAGGTTTTATGCGATTTGATGTTCACAATGAATATATCAACACTTAGTCAAGCTTGTTGTCGAGATGCATCAAGTTCTTCAAATTCTCATACATGAAGTAACTGATCGAAACAGCAGGAGCAACTTTGGCAAGATTGGGTACGAGACCTTTAAAAAGTCCAGGCACTCCCTCTCTAGCCACAGTCTTCTGGAAAACGTCTTTGAAGCCTTTGTATCTGTGCGGGTGAGCATAAGTGCCTTGCGCTTGCAATCTTGTTCTCAACAAGTTGATAGGGTAGACCACGGTCGCTCCAAAAGTACCAGAAATGGCTCCTAAGGAAAGCACCATGTAATTTGGCAAACGAACATCATCTTCGGGGACTCCAAGCTTTTTGGCCTCTCTCTTCACAAGTAAAGTCTTGATTGTAGAAAATGTTCCCAAATCGAGTGCTGCGTAAGGGAACATACCACTCAAACCCACAAAAATGCCTCTATAAAAGATCCTTAGCCCTCCTTCTTTATACATTTGTTTGGCTTGCAGGATAAGGAGCTGGTTACCCTTTACCAGTGATTCAAGATTGGAACATTGAACACGGAATTTCAAGGTATCAATAGGATAAACGGTGAACTGAGCAGCCACACCTCCCAAGCCTCCTGCTAAGTAGGTCGATATCTTCGACAATTTTGAGGTATCATCAACGCCTTCCACCCTTGCGAATATTCGTTTAGCAGCTTCGAATGAGCCAAATTTCATAGCAGATTCAGGAAACACTTTCATCACATTCAAGCCGTTACCGACATAAAATGCCCGGAATCCACCTTGCTTCCAAAGTGTCCTGATTGCTTGTATCATTGGTGATCTGATCGTTTTGTGATGTGGCTTTTCAGCCTGACTAATACGGGCTTCACGTTGTGATTGGAGAAGCTTCTGTCTTGCCTTTTCAATGGCTTGCGTGGAAGCACCTGATTCCACTTGCTTGGCGAGCTCTTTTTTGTTATGCATTATGGTGGATGAAAGATCCGTTCTGGCGATGAGAAACACCTTGATTCTATCGAATGGAGCGGTACATGTTCTGGATACAACTCCTGCAAGACCTCCAGCCAAGAAGAAGCCAAACCCGCTGATAAACGAGTTGATCAACGTCACATCACCGTCTGCGGACAAGTCAAGCTCCTCAGCCAAGTATGTATAGGCCGTTTTGATTCTGGAACCGTGTAAACGAGGCATCAATAAAAGGAAGTCTCGAAATTCATCGTAGGTGATATAACCATGGCAGTTGTGGTCAATCTTGCTGAAAACCTCATCGATGAGATGGTCGGTCGGGCTGAGATTGAGTGTCTTCTTCAAATAATTGATGAAGTCTGCTCGCGTCAACTTTCCGTCGCTATCCAGGTCAATCTTGTTGAATCCTTTCAATATTTGGTCATCAGTGGTCGTTAAGTATAGCTTGAAGTCATCGAAGTCGATGATGTTGTCATGATTGGAGTCGAATGAATGGAAGACTTGTTCAAGAAGATCGGCATTGCGACCAACAGGGTGATTTAATGTTCTAACAGCATTTTTGAACTCCAGAAAGGTGATTTGGCCTCTTTGCTCTATATCTAGTTTGTCAAAAAGAGTCTGGTAGTCATCAGGCGTTTTTCGTGGTTTGTCCATTTATGCGAATATTATGAAGTTCAATGAAGTCTAAGTAAACCTTAAGGTCAAAAAGGTCATGCAAATGCTGTTTATGGGTCGGCCGGGTCGGCGTTAAAGTGTAAAGGGTTGTAAAAGCCTGCCGAGCAGTAATCGACTTTTTGAGGCAGTCTATTTGTTGTGGGAAAAGGTCATGTGACCAAAAAGTTCCAGGCTTGACTCGCTAAGCTGTTACACAAGATCAAACCAGCGAAGGCATAGATATTCGCCAAGAAGTGAAAAATTATATGTAATATACTTTCTAAGCTGTTCTTTGAGTTTTGTGTGAAGAGATGATGCCTCTTATGAGGAAAAAATTACTGAAAATAGCAAAACCAAACAAGAAGACTGCTATTTTAGGTTCCAAATCAATAATTGTAGGGGACTTGAAATTCCCACTAGCAGATAAAGTATCTTGGGTAAGCTCTATGGGTTCAATTTTTTTAAAATGACACATGTACATTATTGAGCTTCAAAGAGTAGAATTGTAAGTGAAGGTGTAATGGCTGCGAATTTTTGTTTCTCAAACATATCCGGCAAGTTTTGGCAAAAGATTGCTCAAAGCAAGCAAGTGTCGCATTTTAAAAATATTCAAGAAAAATTGCATGCTTTACCCTGAAGAGTGAAAAAGGCGATTCGATATAGAGGGGCCTTGAATTATTCAGACCAAATTCTCGGAGTGTCGAAAACTTGTCTATTCTGCCTAAGGCAGTGCTTTTAAAGAGACAGCTACGCGTTAATAGTCGAAAGTTGGGTAAAATTGGGAGCAATCAATTGCCTTGCAAAGAAAGCAATCACGGCTAACTTTTTAAATATAAAACATACAAATACCGTCAAGTAAGCTTAAGGTTTTGGAAAGACACGTTCGAAGATCTTACACGTGATTATGCACGTGACATATGTCAACAAACATCTGCATGTATGTGTTTTATGTACCCTTGCAACGCTCCATACCCTGATCGAGCAGCTTTACACATGACGGACGCCAAAGATGAGAGCTTTGATTTGCTCGAGTCAGTGTCTTCAGATTCACTTTTACATTTCATCAAAGTTTTGATCAGCACCCCAGATAGTCGTGCTGAATGCGCCGATCCATTAGATATAATAGAGCCAACTCTATCCGCATACACAAGCACCGATATCCAACAGGCACTTTATGTTCTTGTCAAATCAGATGGTCTGTTCACTGTGAAAGGTGAATTGGTTGACGTGGTCTCCGCAGACACGGTGCTGATGACCATACTCTTGAAACATTCTGGCATTCTACGAACTGACGTTTCCTTGAGATCTCAAATTAACGTTATTTCCACACCAATGGATGAGTCCTATAACTCGAGGAGTAGCCATTCTCCTATTCTCGTCCGAGACCTTCTCACTCATGTGGTGGCCCCATACATTGATCGCCTTTCATCTAAAGATAGTGAGAGCAGCGCGTCGGGATCCCTTACGCTTGCCAAAAAGAAGCTCAACGAGCTCAATGCGTCCTTGAGCCATATTGATCTGGAAATCGAAGTACCCAATTTGCTTGGCCATGTGTCACCAGCTATCATGGAACTTCTACGTGAGCCTCAGAATGAAGACGAGGTGAAAGATACGACAACCCTTAATGAGCTCACCCAAATCGCCAACACATGGATTAGACAGGTACAATCCATTACCAAAAAAGCCAAAAGCCCCTCTGATACTTGGTCAATGGCAGATGAGACACGTTTTTGGGTCTCCATGGAGTCTGCCCTAATGTCCTTACATCAGCAATTACAACAGCAAGAGGTAGAGAATCTCTTACGCATTTTGACTGCCTCAAAGCGCTATCAGACAACGTTTGTTTTCCAGAATAATCTTCAGGTAACGGAAAAGCTACAAGAGGTAAGGCAATACAACTCATTCTTAAAAGATTTAAGTCTTAACGAGCTCGTCACCTCAAAAGATTCAAAAGACCCCATTGCTGAATTTGACTTCAACCTTTCTAATATCTTCAGTCAACTTAAAAAATGGAAAACCCTGTCGTCCGTCTCACTACTAAGCATCATAGAGCTTACCGAGCTAGCTCTTTCGGACATTTCTGTTCTGCTAGCCTCCATGTTGTCCTCCCTCTCTATTATGGCTATGCCACAGCAAGTATTTGAAACGACCGTGAATTCGAAATTGAGAAGGGTTTTTCAAAACATAGACGGTTTCATCAAAAGCATGACAAATATTTTAAGAGAATTCATGAGGAAAGGACTGGTGAAGTTTATGGTGATCAAAATAGAGCAAAGCTGCATTAATCTGATCGAACAAAGAGTGGATGACTTGGTAAACCTCAAATTTCAGCACCATACATTGGTGCAAGGTCTTTTGCATTGTGCAGCCGACGAGACCCTCACCAACCAACTTCATGATGCTTACAACAAACACATAATTGCTGCAGAATACTTTGATCTCTCAAAAGATGGCTTATTGATTTGGGCTGCTCAAGAGGACAGCTATCTAGGGATACACAATAGAATCTTGCAAAATTTGGCCTCATCTTTAAACAACAGGATTGATCATTGTGCATCATACAGCGATTATGTGAGCTTTTTTGATAACATCTTTAAAGCTGGCACCGATGCAAACATTTTGATACCACTTATCGAAGACAACCACAAGATCAAGTTTTTGACAGAAGCATCGAAGTCATTGCAGGGACTTTTGATGAGTTCGAAGCACAACATGCGGCTTGAGCCACTTCGATTGCAATCAAGAATACCATTGGACTCGGTAGATACAATATTGCTCATGGCATCATTGAAGTACAATGTTGACAATTTGATACAAACATTGAGTCGGTCTTTGGGCGAAACGTGGACATTTTTTGCAGTTGGCTCTCAAATTCAAGATTTGGCCACCTCATTGCGTGAGAAGTTTGATGTCATCAAGGTGTTCGAGATATGGTGCCAATCTGTGAGATCAGCTTTGACCGAATTGAATAGAGGGGATAATGTTTTGTGTCTCGATGAGGATTTGCATTGTAACAAGAGAGTACCTATTCTAAGTATTCCTCATCAATTAGTCGATTTCCCTCGAAGCATCTCCATCTTCAAAAATGTCGGTCTCAATATACCTTCTGATCTAGTTTTGGAAGCTTCACGGATTAACAACGTGGCGTCAATCGTTTCCACACTCAATGAACATATCGAGGCCCTCACTCAGACCATGAATTCGGTCTGTGAGTTCCATGGCTTAGAGTACATTCTCGAATCCCTCAAACAAGACGCTTTTCATAAGTTGTTAGAGATCAGCTCGCTCTCATGGTCCGACTTAAGACTGGATGCCAATTTGTTGACTGAGGACACGGACTTTTCTAAAATCGATGTGACTTCAATGAGGCTTGTTCATCAATTTCAAGAATCAACACACATATTACTCGACCTACAAACATGTGTTGATAACTTTCGTAGATTGATGGATGAGCAGTATCTACCTGCCTTGAAGGCTTGTGATTTTGAGAGTTTGGAAATCCAAAAGTGTGTTGACCAGATCGATAATGCAGCTGTCCCTCTTATGCAGAAAGTCTCGGATGCCAGCCCTTTCGAGGAGTCTTTGCGATGTCTCTTGACAGAGGCTATTGTTGCCAAACTTGAAAGTTGTCTTCAACAATTCAGCGATGGGCTTAATGGAGATGCATCATCTTTGTCTAAATGGAAAACATATCATGTTCTTCGCTATGAGGGAGGCAACTTTATTCTAGAGCCACCGCTTGCGTCTTCTAAATACCTGTGGATTCTTGAAGTGAACAACTTACAGACCATTATCGGAAATATCACCTTCAGGGACTCCAACGGGAGTCCTCAAAAAGTGATCGCACGGTTCCCAGGATCGACAAAAGATTACCTTTGGCGAACTTTGAGCGATATAGATGATTTGTTTGATTTGGTTGATCAACGGATGGAAGACTGGCACGAGCTAGGAGAAGCACTCAAGACTCTCTCGAAACTGGATCCTTTTCAAAGCCTTGGTATCAGAGAGTCTTTGGATAAAGTCAGTTTGATAATTCGATGCGGGAGTCAGTTGGAGAATCCAAAGGGGTCGATCACCTTGGGCGGTATTCTTGATATTCTGTACTCCATGGTGAGAAATCAATTGTTGGGCCAGTACGAAACATTCAAGTCCCTGCTCCTTGATAACTTCATGCAAAATGTTGCAGAACACAGCAGAGATTTTCTCTCTTCGATGCACGATATTGAGAGACTACTTGCTTTTGACCCGAATTGGCAACAGCCTTTTGCGGCTATAGTCAAATATGTTATTAACTTGTTTTCTGCTGAAAAACTCGTGGCGGAAGGCTCGCAAACCAAGAGCCTAGTTGCTGAATCTCAAAAGGTCTTGCTTCAAAACAATAAGCAGCTTTCAGTAATTTGGATTTATCCTGACCATTTCGAAAACAAGTTATCCAATTTGCAGCAGCTCATACACCTTAGGAAGCAATTCGTTGAAGACAACCTCGACCGTTTCCAGGCAAGCTTAGCAACAGAAGTGAAGAGCTGCAATGACAAATTCGAGACAATCACGAGCGACTGGTTCAATAAGCGACCTATTACTGCGTCCATGGAGCCTGGACTTGCGTTGTCTGTCTTGACAAAGCTAACGAAAAAGTTGAAAGATTTGGAAGATTATCAGCAACAGATTTGCATAGTTGCACAAAAATTGCAAGTCACCACTCCCAACGCATCGCTGATGCAATCTTTCCAAGATGAAATCAATGATTTAATTGCTGTGTGGAGAGCACTTCAAGAATTGTGGGATTCCGTCGATGATATAAAGGCCATTCGTTGGGCAGAAGCCAACCCGAGAAAGGTGAGACAGCAGCTTGAGAGTCTCATATCTTCTACGAAGGGCCTTCCTGCTATGGTTCGGCATTATTCTGCATTTTCAGTCGTGAAGAACACAATTGCTTCGTATATCAGTGAGCTAAAGATGCTTTCAGACCTCAAAAGTGATGCGCTCAAATCCCGCCATTGGAGAAAAATTTTGGCGGTCGTTGGATCCCCAGCAACGCTTCTGGTTGAAAATTTGAAATTATCGCAGATGTTTGAATTAGAGCTTCGGTCGCATGAAAGCTTCATTAAAACAATCGTCAGACAAGCTAATGATGAGCGCATTATCGAGGAGTCATTAAATAAGGTCGAGGAAGAGTTGTCTACTGTCGTTTTTGAGACGTTCGATTTCCACGGAAAGTGCCGACTTGTCCGTAATTGGGACAAACTCTTTGATGTCTGTCAAGCGAACCTCAGTACCTTGTCGAGCATGAAAAACCTGGTATCATACGGAGAGTTCGAGGAGAGAAGATCAGCCCTTGAAGGACAACTATATGAGCTTGAGTCAATTTTTGATTCGTGGATCGAAGTTCAAAAACATTGGGCGTACCTCGACGGAGTCTTCAGTAACAACCCGGATATAAGGTCATCATTGCCTACTGAATCAACACGTTTCAACAACCTTTCTTTTGAGTTCATGGGCCTTCTCAAGCGGATAAGCAAAATGACAATGGTATTCGAGGTACTTTCCATCAAAGATTTGAAGAATACTCTTCTGAAAATCAAAGAAAGTTTGGAGCGGACGAAAAAAGGTTTGACCAACTATCTTGAGAAGCAGCGTGAATTGTTCCCAAGGTTTTACTTTTTGGGCAATGAAGATTTGTTAGAGCTTATTGGTGGTGCTGGTGATTTCCTGAGAATCAACAAGCATATTAAACAGATGTTCTTTGGAGTGGACTCGTTGACAAAAGACAACGATACACAATGTATTGTTGAGGTCGTGAGCCCGGAAGGTGAAAAGTTGAAACTCGCCAACCCTTTATCCATTTTCAAGGTCCATGAGCTACACGAGTTGCTCGGTCAATTGGAGACTCAAATAAGGCTTTCCGTTGCGCTCCTCATCATTAAGGCTGTCGATGAGTTGGAAGCAGTTTTCCAAGGATCCTATGATGTCAAGAATCTTGCTGACATTACACGCCAATTCCCTGCCCAAGTGCTCGTTGTTGCTTTTAATGTGATGTTCACTAGAATGGCTGAGAAGGCGATCACAGAGAATTCACCTCTAAGTACATTGTACGAGGAGTTATTGAGGGATGTTGCCTCATTTTCCAACTCGAGTTTAGCGTCACATGAAGCAAAAAAAATTGAGTCCTTGATCATTGAGCTCACACATCATCGAGAAATTGCGAGAGAGCTTGATTCAGCGCCTCATTCCCAGCGAGGCTCCATTTTGAATCAAGTTCAATGCTTCAAATTGAATTCTGATGCAGCTTCTCCACTTGAAAGCCTCAAAGTCAGCCAGGGGCGCTTCGAATTACCATATGGGTTTGAATATCAGGGCGTCATCGAGAGACTCGCTGTTACTCCTCTTGTCGACAGGTGCTACTTGGCATTGACTCTGGCCTTAGCCCAAGGATTAGGTGGGTCTCCTTTTGGTCCAGCCGGAACAGGAAAAACAGAGAGCGTAAAGGCTCTAGGATTCTCTCTTGGCCGAATGGTGAAGGTTTTCAATTGCGACGACTCCTTTGATTACAAGTCTATGGAGCGGATTCTTCTCGGTCTTTCTAAGGTTGGATGTTGGGGCTGTTTCGACGAGTTCAACAGACTCGACTCCGCAAACCTTAGTGCCCTCGCTTCACAAATCGAAGGAATACAACTGGGCCTCAACAACAGGTCGAAACAGGTAGCAATTTCAGGAGCTTCCTTTTCGATTCATCCCAATACTGGTTTGTTCGTGACAATGAACCCTGGTTATGCTGGCCGCAATGAACTACCAGAAAATATGAAAAGACTCTTCAGAAGCTTTTCGATGGAGAAACCTGATTTAGAGTTGATCATCGATGTCATCCTCACCTCACATAAATTGGTTCACACCAAAGTCCTTTCGAAGAAAATTGTCCAATTTTTCAAGGGTTTGAGTGAAGCTGTTTCAGATCAGAGACATTATGACTTTGGTTTGCGTGCAATAAAAAGTATCTTACGCATGTGTGGCTCGAAACGATTCACCAAGGATTCAAGCGATACCCATAGTGTTCATGATGATCCAGGACTCCTGAATGAGCTTGAAATCCTTAAGGCAAGCCTAGAAGAATCAGTTCTACCAAAGTTGGTCCCACAAGATGTCACAGTCTTTTACAACTTGATGTCCAAAATTTTCGAAGGTGTCAAGGTAAGAGGTTTTGAATCTGAAAATCTTCATCGTTCCATTGTGACATCCGCAACTGAAGTTGGTCTCGATTTCTCCGATGAAGTGCTTCGCAAATGCTCTCAGATCGTTCAAATACTGAAGACGCATCATGGAATCATTTTGGTAGGAGAGTCCGGGTCTGGAAAGTCGACAATGCTCAGACAAGTTATACATGCTTTGTCTTTGTCAGAGGGTGTCACCCACAAGACACTTGTGCTCGACTGCAAAGTTTTAAGTAAGGAGCAAATTTTTGGCTCTTTAGATGCAATCACTCGTGAATGGACAGATGGTATTTTGACTAGTCATCTTAGGGCAATTAATCAAAATTTAAGGGGCGAGAAATCTCAACGTCTGTGGGTTGTGTTTGATGGAGATATTGACCCCCAGTGGGCAGAGAATCTCAATAGTGTGCTCGACGACAATAAGATTTTAACACTTCCGAACGGTGAAAGGCTTGAGCTTCCGGACAACGTGAGAATAATTTTTGAGGTCGATAACTTAACTCACGCTACTCTAGCCACTATCACTCGTTGCGGAATGATCTGGTTTGATCGTTCTCTAATCAAAGCTGACCTAATTTGGAAAAAGTTTCTCTTCAAGCTACGTCAAAACAGCATTGATGGGCAGACTTCACAAGACTTGGAGGGATTTGAGATGGAGAAAATTCAATTTCAGCAAAATGTTGCTGAAATAGCTTGCACACTAGGCGAGGAGGTCTTTGACCAAGTCTATCAGATCTCTCTCAACTTTGACCATATCATGCAGCATAGCTCTCAAAGAGCTCTCAATTCATTCTTCACATTTTTTGAAACCCAAATTTCAAAACTTGTAACCTTCAAAATTGAGAATCCAGCGCACACATGGGATTCACTCAACAAATTTGTCATGAGCGCAATCTTTCATTCTTTGGTTTGGGGCTATTCAGGCGATAGCCCAGTCGAGCAAAGGAACGCCTTTGCCTCTCAACTTGCTTCTATGGATTTGTTCGAGCTGCTTGCTGTGCCAGAGAACATAACGGAGTATTTTATCTCACCAGTCGATTTCGAATGGTCTCCATGGCTGCAACATATCGATTCCGTCGAACTTGAACCACAGCATGTCATGGATACCAATACTATTGTTCCAACAGTTGATATACTTGTTCATGAAGATATCATCAATTCGCTCATGAACAAGCATACTCCTCTTCTATTGTGTGGACCGCCTGGCTCCGGTAAGACCATGACATTCTTACAAGCTCTCAGAAACCTGCCTAGTCTAGATTTGATCTCACTCAACTTCTCGAAGGACACTACACCAGAGAGCTTGATAAGCCTGCTCGAGCAGCACTGCCGCTACAAGCGGTCAAACGAGGGGTTAACACTTTCCCCCAATGTCAGTGGTAAATGGACTGTTGTTTTCTGCGACGAGATTAATCTCCCTTCAATGGATGAGTACGGCTCTCAAAGAGTCATCGCCTTGATTCGTCTCATGGTTGAACGCCTAGGCTTTTGGAGCTCTCGTCACAAGGCATGGGTCACTCTAGAAAACATTCAATTTGTTGGTGCATGCAATGATCCAAACGATCCTGGTAGACATCAGTTAGCGGAGAGATTCTTGCGTCATGTCTGCGTGGTCATGGTCGACTATCCAGGCAAAAACTCCATGGCGCAGATCTACGAGAGTTTTAATCATGCTACATTGAAGTGTGCTCCTGATCTCCGTGGTTTCGGGAAACCTTTAACTTCAGCTATGTTGGACGTATACTTCGGGAGCAAAGAAAAGCTCACCCGTGCCATTCGAAGTCATTATGTCTATTCTCCTCGTGAACTCACAAGATGGTGTCGAGGCATATTGGAAACTGTTATTCAGAGCACTTACGACGACCTTCCAGGTCTCCTTCGTTTGTGGTTTCATGAAGGACTTCGACTCTTTTTCGACAGACTCTGTGGAAAAGAAGAAAAGGAATGGACAAAGCAATTACTCCTTGAAGCTGCATCGAAACACTTTCCCCATACCGATCTTATATCTGCGTTTCAGGAACCGATATTATATTCAAATTGGCTCTCTTCGGCATATGAACCCGTCTCGAAGGATGATTTAGCTTCATTCGTGAGTGAAAGGTGTCGAGTTTTTAGTGAAGAAGAATTGGAAACCGCTTTAATACCTTTCGAAGACATGCTTGATCACATTTTGAGAATTGACAGAGTTTTAAGGCAACACCAGGGACATATGATTTTGGTCGGCCCTTCTTCGAGTGGTAAATCAACACTCACGAAATTTGTTGCGTGGATGAATGGTATCAAAGTTGTTCAAATGAGGGTCCACAGAGGATATTCGATTCAGGATTTTCAAAAGAAGCTTCGACAAGTCCTCTTTGCTTGCCTCAAAGGAGAGAAGTTGTGCTTCCTTATAGATGAATCGAGCTTACTCGAGACCGCCTTTATCGAGCGGATGAACACTTTACTTGCAAACTCAGAAGTACCAGGCTTATTTGAAGGTGATGATTACACATCGCTCATGAAAGAATGCGCAATTGAGTCTACAGCGCAGGGACTCTTGTTGGATAGCGAAGATGAGCTTTACACCTGGTTCACCGAACAAGTGAGCACCAATTTACATGTGGTCTTTACACTCAGCGATGTTGGCCATGGAGATAAAATGCAAGTGAATTCGTCTCCTGCTCTCTTCAACAGATGCGTTCTCAACTGGATGGGTGATTGGACGCAAAGGTCACTTGAGGAGATCGCTAACGTAAAGCTCCAGGATATTGCATTAGACAGCTCCACTTACAAACCACCATCGGATGATGAAACAGTTGACCAGACCCTTCGTGGTGCAATGATTAGTGTATGCGTGTCAATTCATCTATCTAATGACGCCTATCCGAATCAGTTCATGAGATTCTTGCAACTTGCAATCGATTTGTACAATCAGAAAGACAGCGAACTAAATGTCAACCAAAGGCATATTTTAGTTGGGTTAGATAAGCTTCGTGAAACTGTGCTTGAAGTGACTGAGATGAAGCAGGTTCTTTCGAAGAAGCAGGAAAGCTTGCACGCTAAGGAGATTGATGCAAAGAATATGTTGGACAAGATGATCGTCAATCAAAACGAAGCGGAGAGGAAGCGTGAATTCTCGGTGGCCACTCAGGAGGAACTTGGAAAGAACGAGAGTCAGATAAATAAGAGACGCGAGGTTGTGATGCAAGAGCTCGAGCTTGCAGAGCCTGCTGTGCTTGAGGCTCAGCGAGGCGTTCAAAACATCAAGAAGCAACATTTGACCGAGATGAGGAGTATGTCGAACCCACCAGCTGCTGTCAAAATGGCCATGGAATCTGTGTGCATCCTTTTGGGCTATGATGTGAAGACTTGGAGAGATGTGCAACTCGTGGTTAGAAAGGACGACTTCATTACCAGTATCGTTTCCTATGACAGCGAGACACAGCTTACTCCAGAAGCAAGCGAGTATATGGAGAGAACATACTTGAGTCGGTCTGATTTTAATTTTGAAACTGTCAACCGTGCTAGTAAAGCTTGTGGTCCTTTGTTGCAATGGGTAATTGCTCAATTGAGATATTATTCGATTTTGGAGAAGGTGATGCCACTCAAGGAAGAAGTGGCATATCTCCAGGGTGCAGCTAAAAAGTCCAAGGCCCAATTAATTGCAATTGCCGATATGATCAGAGAGCTCGAGGAGAAAATTGTGGAATACAAGACCAGTTACAGTGACATCATTCGTGAAGCTGAGAGATTGAAAGTCGAGATGGAAACAATTCAGAGGAAAGTTTCACGAAGCGAGGAGTTGATCCAGAATCTCACAAGTGAAAGAAGAAGGTGGGAGCTGAATATCAAAGTTTGTGACGAGGAAAGACTGCGGATCGCAGGAAATAGCATTCTATCTGCTGCTTTTGCTACTTATAGTGGTCGTTACGAGCATTCAAAGAGGGATGCTCTTTTGATGGATTGGAAACAGAGTCTCACGAAGCTTCACATACCATTCGACAAATATCATTCCCCCATTACGAATTTGGCAACTTCGGAGCAGGTCGCAGACTGGATGCATAGAGGTCTTCCCAAGGATGAATTATATGAGCAGAATTTTGCCATCAAGGAGTGGGCAGACTTCGTACTCGTCACTAACCCTGTGGAAGATGTTCTCAAAGCATTGACCTTCTCAACATCGGCAAAGAGTGTGGAGCGAACAAGCTTTCTTGATGCGTCGTTTATGAGGGATACTGAGAATGCCATGAGATTTGGCGGAACGATTTTGATATCTCATGCTGAGCTTTACGATCCGGTTATGGATCCGATAATCAGAAAGGAAATTTCTCACATTGGAGGACGAAGATTAATTCAATTGGAAAATAGAGAAGTTGATATTCTGCCCGAATTCAAATTGATTCTCGTCTCGAATGATCCGTCGGCTTCTATTCCATCATCATTCTTGTCAAGAGTTAATGTCCTCAGCTTCATGACTACTACAAGCAATGTTCAGAGGCAAACATTGAACTTGTGTCTCAAACGAGTTCAACCTGACCTCTACCAGAAACACGAGGAGAGTACTTTACTTCAAGGCGATTATCTAGCCAGAGGCCATGCCCTTCGTCAGAAACTTCTTGACACGCTCAATAATGTGGCCGGAACGATTTTAGATAATGACGAGGCCACAGAGGCGCTTCTGAGTATACAATCCCAATCACTGGAACTTGACAAGAAGTTTGGCGAGTTGAATGGAACGATGATGGAAGTTGAAAAGGTGAGAGGTGCATACCTTGAAATTGCTGAGCATTTGGGCAAGGTCCACCAGATACTTTCCGTCCTATCATCTAGGTCCAAGATATACAACTTCCTGTTCAATACGCTTGTTGCCATACTACAGACCATACTTGACTGTCAAGATAAGACCGAAAACCTAGTGGCTTTGAGGCTACAGTTCTACTGCGACGTTTATGCAATTGTTGCTCCCGCCTTGAGAAACATGGACAGGGTCTCTCTAGCTTTGGCTTTGGTTGCCGGTTACTTTGAAGTGAGTGAAGGAAGCATTGCATCCCAAGGCATACTAGCAATTATTGGAATGGTAGGCACAAACCCCACAAGTGCCAAACTTGCAGAGTCAATGAAGGAGTATTTTTCGTTGGACATCGGTGATGACTCAAAGACCGACCAATGGGATGATATTCTAAAGGAAGCGGATAGCCCTGCTGTTGCGTCGATTCGCCCATTGGTATTGAAGCTTATTGGTTCAGAATTGACATGGTTTGATGCAATGGAAACAGCAACAAAATCAGTATTTGGTACACCATTGAGTCAAACGAAGACGTTAGGATTGTCTGACTGGAAGGAATTCCAGAAATCAATCTTTTTGATTGCAGAGTCTGACCATATTGATCTGACGCCTCAAATTGAACGTCAAGCAATTGAACATAACTACAATTTGAAAGTTATTGCAATGGGTACCGCAGATGGTTTGAATACCGCTTACAAGGAAGTCGAGAAAGCTTTGATATCTGGCTCGTGGGTTGTGCTTCAGAACGTGCAGTTGAGTGGAACCTGGCTCAATGAATTGGATCAATTGCTCGACAAGCGTAAAGCTCATGACAATTTCGCCCTCTTCATGACTTGCCTGTTATCAGCAACGAATATCCCGTCTGCTTTGTTATCTAAAGCGAATGTCTTGACGCACGAGGAGACCCCCACCTTCAAAGCCATTCTACTTGAAAGCTTTAGCTATCTCTGGAAACAGCAAATTTGTCTCCTTCCTGCCGCAAAGACCATTTCTTTCTTAGTTTGTTGGTACCATGCGGTGATCCAAGAGAACCTCAAGTTTGCGCCAAACGCATTTGCAAAGAAGTATGACATCAGCGATGTTGACCTCAATTCTGCAGCCTTGTATTTAAGGAAGATTTTCGGTTCTCTTGACGGTAAGAGCGTCATTCGAACAGAGGAATTGCCTTGGGATGAGATTCTGTCAATTTTAGGGCGAGTCTTATACGGTGGTAAAGTGTCTATCGAAAAGGATGCCGCTTTTTGCAAGGAGTTTGCAATGGAACTTTTCAATCCTAGATGCTGCGATGATGACTACTACTTGCCCCACACCCAATTGAAGATTCCCTTCGGTGATGAATATGAGGTATACGCGAAGTGGATCGAAGACTTACCTGATAACATTCCCCATGAGTGGATTGGGCTTGACAGTGGTGCTATGGCAGAGACTTTGGCCAACGAAGCTGCCTTGATCTGTAAAAATGTGATCACGATCACCAAATAACGAATACATGTTGAATTACGATGCGATTTCTTTATTAGAGTACAAAGGAGGAAACATTATGTCAAACGAACGAGCCCTCGGCTTACTCGTCATCTTCTTCCAAAGTCTGAGCAGCAATACGGTCCAAGTCTCTCTGACCGTTCTCGGAGATCTTTCTGCCACCCTTTGGAGAAATCTCAACAACGCCAATCTTCTCCAAAGCCTGGACAACCTTTCTGTTGACAGAGCCGGAAGCGTCAGCGTGCTTGTGTGGTCTGAAACCTCTGTTGATAGAGCCACCGTACAACTTGTTCAACTTACCGACACCAACGTGCTTTCTCAAGTAGATGTGTCTGGCAGCAGAAGCAGCTCTCTTGTAGAACCAGGTCTCGGACTCCTGGGGAGGCAACTCATTGCCAGCGGAGGTCTTCACAAGTTCAACGTAACCTGGAACCTCCAACTTACCCTGACGCTGCAAGAACTGAGCGTAGGCGTTGATAAAGTCTTGAGCTGGAACGTCTCTGAATTGTTAGTAAAAAGCTTAGCAATTATGGCAAGCGCATCTGAAATGCTCGTTGTGATGATAAATGGGACTTTCGATCTGGGGCATAGGATGTGGATTCATGAAGGGAGTAAGACTTCAGATGGAGTGGTCAATCTGACATCGTGGGAAACGGGGGACTGTTGGCATAAACGATATTTGCTTTGGAACGCTGGCTCATTAACTGGACAAGAAACATACCTAACGGAAACACCTGGCATGTTGATGATATTCAAGGACTGTGATGGGCGAAACTTGGAGAAATTTTCTTTTTTTTTGGTGGGTGAGAAAGTTTTCAGAACTGCAGGTAGGCCTCACGAGTTCGTTAGTATGAGAGCTTCTAAGACCCGTACACACCAGCCTGCGAGTATAAGAGCGTTAACTATGAGGCCTAGTGCAAATATGGGGAGCATATGCAGTATAATAGGCTTGACTTCTCGCAGTCACAAAAGTCACGTTATCTCATGAATGGCTGCAAAATGAACGTCTTGATTCACAACCAGATGGCGCTGAGCTCCTTATTAGGACAAGAGTAGTATTCTAAGTCTCTCAAAGATGTCTCAGCGGAACTGAAGATATTGATTGGTAATTTGGATTGATGAACTGGTTTCGTGTCCACAGATAGCTGCCCTTCCTGTTGAAGTACACTATAGACCTCCTGCTTCTGATATCGAGGAGAGTTGAAGTCGAATCTAGATATTCTGGACGCCTTCATCAAAGTCATCTTGTGTTTGCGTGCCTCAGACTCCTCTAAACCTGCGTCGTTAGCATTTATAATATTTTGATAGTATTCTCTCATCATGCCGTCGTCAGAGTAGGACCATGCCTCATATAGACTAACGAATTGGATCTGATTGGAGAAAGGACAGCTTCCGAGATGAGCAAGGAGGTTGTTCATAAAGCTAAGAGCATTCAAATGAGAACCTTCTTGTACCCTACCGTATATAAGGCCAACATGGGTGGCCCTAATTGTAGCTATTATGTGACTCACAACTTCTCTTTCGATTGGAAGCAAAGTCGGTAACCCAAAACTCTCATCCACTAAGCTTAAAGATACTGGAGCAGACTTTTCAAATTCATTCGTAGTGGTGTAGTTTTGAGGGAAATGCAAGTGCTTCATGAAAGCATAGTCCAAAGTTAGGTTGACCAACAGTCTTGCATTTTTGAGAACTGCTAGGAATTCTGGTCCATTGGGGGATTCAATCACCTTCCATTGTGAACCAATGGTCTGTCGAGTTTTAAACGTGCGTATTGTCAATGATTCAATTGAAGAGCCGCCAACTATTTGGGCCAAAAATGCTAGGAAATCCGTTAAGTAAAGCACTTCCGGACTCATGATGAATAAGTTTAATTGTGTCAAGTTGGACTTTGATATGAGATTACCGATATCATGGAGTCCGAGCGGGTCAAGCATATTGTCTGGTCGTTTCGGATACAAAGTGCTCATATCAAGTATGAGGTCCAATCTCTGTAACCTGGGTACTCCAGAGATAAGGGCGCCACAGGAACACAAACAAGACAGATGTATCGCCAACGAAAGTAATTGAATGTCTCCTAACAGGTCAATTGAACTCGAGAGCGGTCTTTTATCTAGAATCTTGAGGTGTTTGAGCATGGGGAACATAGAGATAGAGATTGGAGACCCTGTGCTTAGAACGTCTTGAGTAGCCTCTAAGTGCGTCACATAATTATTGATCCTCAAATGTTGCTGATCAGGAGTCCGTTTTGAGGTATCAATTCTAGCGAAAGGCTCAATATTTTCAATAATTTTGACATAGTCTTCCCAAAAACCTTGGTTCCGTTTGGCGCCATTCGCTTTGTCAGTCGCGTACTTGAGTATCGAATCGATCTCCGATGTTCTTACCAAACTGAGAAAACCAAATAATGCTGGGGCTAGAAGAAGCCGAAATCGCTTACAAGTTGCGGATAGCTGAAGCACGGACGAGTAGTTGTTGAACCTGCAACAATTGGGTGTGAACAGAAGAGACGGACGTTCATTTAAAGGGAACCTTTTGTCATCAGCAGAGGCTTCCAAAACCAACAGTGAATCAGTGAGCCAAAATACAACTTCATGGACGATCTGCTCTGGTAAAGTATCCATCAAGAATGTTTGCAGAAATTGGGAGACGCACTGAAGCTTTTGAGTAGAAGAAGTCGATTGTCTTATCCGACTACATACAATCTGACGTAGTCAACGGTGCACTATAATCGATAACGCGAATCGCATATGGTGAAAAATCCTCACTCATATTCTGACACATTGTGTGCAACTGACTACGAATTACTAGTTCCTCAACTTATATTTCCGTTATTATTACATTAGATACAGAGAAGAGAAAACCGTGATAAAGAAGCCCAAGAGATTCAAGACTAACTTAGACCTTGAAACCTCTAGATCTTCTTCTACCTCTGGCTCTCTCGAACTTTCTACCCTTAGACAAGATTCTTGGGGCCTTGTTCTTGTGAGGACCGAAACCGAAGTGTCTGACAGCCTCTCTGGCGTTTCTTGGACCTCTGATGAGGACGGTGTTCTGGCCCTTTGGAGCTCTGACAGCCAACTGGTCCAAGGTGATAGCCTCACCACCAGCCTTGATGATTCTAGCCTTGGCAGAGGCAGTGAATCTCAAAGCGGCAACGGTGGCCTTTGGAACGTCCAACAATCTGACGTCGTCGGTGACGGTACCAACAACAACGACAGTCTTGTCAGCGGCACCCTTCTGCTTCAAGGTGTTGTTGACTCTGGAAAGAGACACTGGAGGTCTGTTGATCTTGGACAAGAACAAAGATCTCAACACAACCTTGTTGAATGGAGCGTCGGTACGACCTGAACTGTTAGTACTTAAGCTTTGGTTTCTGCTCACTAGACGCACAATAAATCTCCTTCTCGATGCTACCATGATTGCCAAGGTGAAAAAACATAGCTCTTTCATCGTGGCCTTCACAGTAACAGAGAAAGATGCACTCGCAGAATGTTTCCCGTGCTCAACAAGCATTTTGCTTGGGCTTCTGAATCACCAGATTGGGAAACGTTGATGGGCGTATCAAAGTGATATTTCCATATCTTCATGGACACCAAGACACGAGATCAGAACCTGAAGCGGTGTCAGATATTAGTCATCGGTAGACGTCATCGGTAGACTATGTCTGTGATCTCCATCAACAAGCTGTGTGTTATTGGCCTCTAGAGGCGGTTTCTTAAGTGTGATACATACGAGCAAGGTAGGTGTACAATCTAACCAAGACCTTCAAGTAGGCGTTGTCAGACTTAGGAGCGGATCTCTGGGATCTCTTGACGTGCTGCTTGGTGACGTGATCTTTACCCATGTTTGTTGTAGTAGGAAGAAACCGATGGATTGAGAAGTGGAAATTTTTTCTTTAGATGGTGCGGTGCACCTGGAAATTACGTGCAGGTGAGTGAGCGGTTTAGGGCTGAGCCCTCGCACGTGATCACATTTGGACTAAGAAGAGTGAAACCGTCAGAAACAATGTTTTGGAACTTTAAGAGCCTTCATCTGGGAATATAGAGTATCAATTGGCTTGAATGCTAGTTTTGTGTTGGTATGCTGCTGTTGTAAGCGACATTCATGCCTGACGTCACTTTGCGAGTCGTCATCTGGCGATTCAAAGAGTTATCAAGCAGAATTACTGGCTTTGGGTACTCAAGTAGAAGATGTAGCTAAAGATTCATCATACTTCACCCCGAGTCAATTGAGGTAGTGTTGTCTTGTGCAGAAATAATAACCAGAAACAACGCAGCTAATACCTCACTGTTTGATCAATCAATTCGCTGAACAAATGACAACTTTAAAACCAGCAACTAAAGCAATAATTGACTTTGAAGTTACTGTAGAAATCTCAAAAAATTAAGGGTTTCTGGTTTTATCTTGAACCATGTCCCCCTCCCACCTGATAGCACAGTGAGACTGCCAATTGTATTTACTCGGTTTATTTAAAAATTCTTTAATGGAAATAACTATTTTGAAAGAAATCAACCGCTCCTCCCTATTAGCGTGCCCAGTGGGGTCTTCAATATTTTCCCCTTTTGCAGCCAATCGGTCCTCCTGCACCTCACCCCGAACCACGCCTTCATTATCGTGATACATCAAGCAGCTGCTTCTATCTAACCGCAAATGACCCAACTAACGCCGATCCGAGGGTTCACAAACACTCCAGTCACAAAGTCGGTTATACTTATTGGCTTTTTACTAGCATTAGCTCTACTGACGCTACAAGCTAAGCATTATGTTAGACTTGCCATAGATCCACTTATAGTACAGTACTCACAGTACTGGCGGATTGCCACATTTCAGCTTGCGGTGATCAATGAAAGCGATTTCATGCTAAGTACAATTCTATGGTTTCATTTCAAAACCTTAGAGCGTTTCTTTGGTCCCCGCAAATATCTATCCTTAATTGCCATATTCGCTTTCTACAATGCGGTTATCACCTTCCTCGTGTTATCCGTGGGCCAGCTTACATTCAATGCTTTGGTGAGTCTTGTCAACATGTTGATCACTCATTCGAACTACCAGTTTGTCTACAGAGATACGTTTTTCAACTCCGTCGCCCTGGGGCCCTTCGGAATCATTGCATCGCTATACATGTGTTATGGCTCATACATACCCGTTTCTTATCACTTTAAGATTCTTTTCCGGAAGCCGGCCGTATCTCCCGAATCAGAGGCTGACACCGAGGAGCTGACCAGTGTTACAGGCTCAAATAGCTTCTTACCGAAGCAAATCACGTTGAATGACCATTTCCAGATCCACATACTTTTTACTTTACTTATGCTCAATAATGGCATAGGGTCAATCCTCCCTTGCTTGATAGGGCTTATAGTTGGGCGTCTTTACACCAACGACCTCTTGGCTGGTTCCAAGAATTGCTATCTTCCTAATGTCGTGTTCAGGCTTTTCGTCAATCCACGCAAAATAGATGTCACAGTTTTCAGACTGTTTAGACAGAGAGTTCGGGGCTTTCAACCGCTTCCACGGGCACCTCCAGCAGATGTTGAGCCTACCCCAGAAAGAGAAGAAGAACACGAGGAAACGATTGATGATATCAGAAACACGGAGGAACCTGAAAATAGATCCGAGACGCCAGTAAGACCACTAGGCAGGCAGTTCCTCGATACCTTCCGTACATAAATGCATGAGTCTCACATATGATACGTTGTTCAAATTCTATTAACCTATTTCTTCTCCTCTCTTCTCCTCTTCACGTCCCAATTGTAAAGTCGAGAAGTGTTCACCTCCATGGTAGTAATGCTCTCTCTCAAGAACTCAAGGTCCTCCTCAACCGTCTGCAACTGATTCTTGTGACTCTCCAATCTAGAGTTCAAGAGCTCAACAGCCTCATCCAAGGGGTATTCTAACATGACCTCAGCACCAAGCCACAAGTACACCGAATTAAGATTTTTGGCATCAATTGTAGCCTTTGTGTATAGCGTGCTGTCCAATTCGTAGTTTGTTTCGATGGCATTGTCTTCGTCGTCGTCTTCTTCATTCTCCTTCTTTTGTTTGAGAAGGTCAATCACTTGTAGGTTCTTTTCAGTATCTGGGATTTTTATGTTAAGGTCTGCAAGCTGCTGCTTCTTGGAGAGCTCCATATATTTGTATTGCTGTAATCTATCAGAGAAAGCGCTGAAGATCGTCTCATAGTTTGAAGGATCAGTCACAACAGCTTCTACCTTCTCAATAAAAGGTGCTTTGGGGATACCACGTGGGTTTGTCTCCTTGGGTCTGATGTTAGAATGGCCTTAATTTTAATCCAGTTTATACATACTTTAGAAAGTCGGTCATAGTTAATGTGAAATCAACGAGGTGCACTGAGGAAGAACTTCACGCATAGAGCTCCATACGTGCACTACTTAACGAGAAGCACATACTAATCCACCAAAAGGAACGAATTAGTGAAGAACTTAGAAAATAAATATTATTACTAAATCATACTCAGTCTCTGTCTTCGTTATTTATATTATCCCTTTATTAAATTACAACATACAAATTACAACCGTTAGACACCCACACGCAAGATATTCTGTCTCTGGTGACGGAAACGGATCACCTCGTGTCTCTCCATGATATGTAGAGCCTTGTCCAAAGCTTCGGGTGTAGCTCTTCCAGCATCAACAATCTCTCTACGAAGAGTTCTGTAAGCCGTGGACCAGCCAATTGGCAATCTTCTCCTCAATTCGTGCTCAACAATCTTGATCTCCTCGGCAAACTTGCCCGAAGCCATCAAGTTACCGCTTTGAATACCCTGATCCACAGCGTTCATTGTGGATGCAGTGAACAAGCGGATTGCCTCATCAACATGGTCCAGTGTGGCGACTGGCAGCAAGGTAAGCTTAGCTAACGACTCAGTGATACGGATGATGGCCTCCAATTGACGAACTGTAATTGGAATGGAGGATCTTTCATTCATATCGGCTTCATTAACTTGCAAACGACGTCTGATGGCCACGAAATGCGACAGCAATTTCTCCAGCGCTTCAGGACTAAGTCTTGGAGCACACTTTGTCTTCACGTATTGAATGTAACGTTTCATTGTGTCAATTGGAATCTCGCCCTCTTGGTTGTCATTGTTGTTGCTGTTACCAGTGTGAACATTCATAACGTGCTGAGCAATCAGCTTGTCTCTGGCCTCGTTATGGTCATCCTTCACGATAAAGATCATATCAAAACGAGAAAGAATTGTAGTTTGGAAATCAATGTTCTCGCCAGGACTTTTCAAGTCATCGTAACGACCAAAAATAGGGTTTGCAGCGGCTAAAACGGACGTTCTCGAATTGAGAACCGTGGTGATACCAGCCTTGGCGATGGAAATTGTTTGCTGCTCCATGGCTTCGTGAATAGCGACTCTATCTTCATCTCTCATCTTGTCAAACTCATCGATACAAACAACACCACCATCTGCTAGAACCATGGCACCACCTTCCAAGTAGAAGTCTCTGGTCTGACTGTCTCTTTGCACCGAAGCCGTCAAACCAGCAGCAGAAGAACCTTTACCAGAAGTGTAGACGGCAATAGGAGAAATTTTCTCCACAAACTTCAATAACTGAGACTTTGCAGTACCAGGATCACCTAGAAGCAAGACATTGATGTCACCACGCAATCTCATACCATCAGGCAAGATCTTCTTCGAACCACCCATCAACAAACAAGTAATGGCCTTCTTAATATCATTGTTTCCATAAATCGAGGGAGCAATGGAACGAGAGAATACCTCGTACAAGTTTGGTAAACGAGAGATACGAAGAAACTCCTCTTCTTCCTCCTCGGTAAAGGAAAGACCCTGAGCGGCAGTATCGACGTCAGTTTGAATTCCCAATACTTTCAAGTAAGGATTTCTGATGGCAACTGTGTTGGAGGAGCCAGAAGATCTTTGCTTGGATTGGTAAATGGAGTAAGTCCCGACCAAGGTAACACGCGTACCCGGCACAACTTGGTTGGTTAAGTAACGATCAACTTGGACCAAAATATGACGGGGCATCTCACCGACGGGAACGGCGTCGGGAGTTTCCTGCAACTTCAAGACTTGTTGGTCAATGAAAGTGGATTTGTCATGCACAACGACGTATGGGTCAGGAGGACACTTTTGCTGTGACATGGACTCGTCGTGGTTGTGAGTAGCCAAACATTTGGAGGGAAGGTTCAATGGGCCAAAGCCAGAACCAACCTTGATCTTCAATGTATGCTTACAGTTACGGCACACTAATTGAACGTTGGTGGCTCTGGAAGAGAGCACGGAGGCCGAGATGATGATGCCGCTTACTCTCACAATCTTGGAGATGTGGTCGGAGTCCAAGTTTCTGATGGAGATGGTGGACGAGTTCGAGTACAAGATCAACTGACAGTGTGGGAAATCACGGGGAACCTCGTCGTTGGAGAGGAAAGCGATTCTCTTGGCGATGTCAGTGATGGCGTTTTCGAAAAGTGGCACCATTTCACCGGGCTCATCCGAAAGCTTTTTGTTGAGCTCCTCATTGAACCCGATCAAGTGTTCTGAGTTCACCTTGAGGTAAAAGTTGTTGATGAGCAAGTTCTCTCTCAATTGGTCTCTGTAGATGAAGGAGTTGTTGAGGCGAAACTCCATAATGAAAGACCGGAAAGCTTTCGTGATTTCGTTAAACGAGTTATCCTCGGGCTGCTCGCCCGGTAAGACCTGAGCCGAGTAAATTTCTGCCCTCAGGTACGACATTGGGGAAGAACGGTGGTAACGATTGAAAGAAAAATAGTAGGTGCACGGTGAAGATGGCGCGCCGAAACGGGAATATTAATGAGACGCGTAAATCACTAGCCGCAGGCAGGACACCACAAGTCCTCAAACGGTGTGAATAGAGCTGGGTAAAACCTGTTTACTAAAAGATCGGTATAAATAAGAAAGGTTTCTCTCGAGACTGAGAAAGAAGGTCTTGCTCTTTTTTTCTTTTAAAATGCCTCTCATGGATGTGGTAGTGCGTATTTCCAAGGCGTCTCATATAAGTGCGATAGATGCTTTAGTGGGAAATGAAGACGTACCGTCAGTAAAATTAGGCTGAAGTCTACAAATTTCAAACGGAAAATCGAGACTTTCTACGATATCACATGGTTCAATTCATACAACAACTAATCTTAAATCTAAGATCTCGTTTAGTGCCCCAAAGCCATTCTCAGAGGTCTAGAGTGCCATATTCGAAGAGAATATAAAGAATCTGTGAATTTCAGACTTCAGGCTGTGAAATTTTTCTTTGCCGGCTTTAGTAACCCTAATCAAACAAGCTAAGCAAACTTTTACGTCAATTCACATCCATGTGGTAATCCCAGATTCTTACTTGACTCAATTACTACAAACACTCTCCTCCCCAAAGCTTTTTACTTCTCTTCAAAGCTATATAATAACTTCTGGCCCCTCATATTTGGTGTACTGTTTATGTATAATCGGCCAGCAATGAGCCGCATTTACCTGGAACCCAGTAGTCCATTCATATCCCACAATTGCGACGACCAATGATCAGAGACTTTAATGCTTGGCAATCCAAATCAAACTACCAATAAACGGAGCATAATATGAAGGTTGTTTCAAAATCAACCCCTTTGCGCTGCCGTATAGGCCTCATGTCTCACCTAGTTTCATATATGACTCCTGGCGGATCAGAGGGCTTTTCGCAGCCACCATATATAGACCCGCATCCTGCCAATGTTTAATATCCAGCTTTCCACAGTCAGAAAATGAAGCTTTCCAGTGCCGTTGGGATTGCGGTAGCTGGGACTGCTAGTGCTGTCGTTTTTGTTTTTCTCCTTGTTGCCGTTGTTCTTGTCAAGTGCTGTGTGGTCCGTCTCAGATCAGATCAGTCTGAAATCGCCTTTAGAGATCTCGAATTGGCACTCAATGGAAAGGAAAAGTCACTGAAAGAAAATCTAGAGACACAGGATGATTTTTCTCAGCACGAAACTCCCCTCGAGCAAGAGCCCGATTTGGGGCTGACTGTTCTAGATTTCGACCCCATCGAGTTGGAGAGTTTCGATAGACAGACTGATGGGCTAGGAGATGACGAACAAAGATATGAGAGGATGAATCTCACGGGCAGAAGGGTTGATCGACTTTCAGCGATTAAGCTCGTCAATTACTGTGGCTGCAGCATTTCGACTCTGAACCAAATTGACAAGAACGCAAGAAGCGTCTATGCCCATTACTTTTCATTGTACGACCGCTCGCTTGTGGTTCAGAATATGGCTCAGGAGGTGCTCAATGGGCCAAAATCTGTAACGGAAATCAAAGACCAGCACTCTTCTGGCGTCATCAAGGTGGGAAGTATGGTGATAGTAAAGAATCCTTTCACCGGGACGAAACGTAACCTCGAGTTTGAGTCCTTGGAACCGGGGCAGATTTTGAAAGTGGTGAAATTCTTTGTCAAGAATCAAGTCATGGATAATGTCGACGACAGGTCAAGCGTGTATCATTCTTGCCATAGATCCTCCTACCAACGAACCTCGGATTTATCATACCGAGCTGCTTTGGATAGACAAATCAGCACAGAAAGAGATCTCAAGGAAGCTGGTCTCATCTCACCCTGTCCTACAATTGAGCCTGGAGTTTTGGAATTGGAGGACCCTAACTATCCGCATATCTGGTGCTCTGGTGCCCTCTTCAGAACATACTTGCATCATGACAAAGCCACTGGCAATGTTCAACTCAAATACAGATCTGACGAGGCCTCAAAGTATCAGATGGTGAGAGATTTTCCGATCTCATGCGTGACTTTGGAGAGCAATTTCCTCGATCCTGAATCTGTCGAATCCGACGAATTACTATACCATGATAGCTTAGAGTTTCATGAACCTGACGAGCTATACATATCCAGTGAGGAAACGGTAGCAGATCATTGTGAACATACGAAGGGGGTGCACCAGGTTGAGTCTATTACTAAACAGAATGAATGATTCAGCTCTTCTCTGGCGCATATTTTTGCCATCTTTCAAGTGTTTGCACTGCTTCGTCCAAGTTCTCATATAACTGTGCATTTTCAATTCTCAATCTTTCGATCTCGTCCTCCTCATTCTTTTTGGACAGGCGACCACCTGTGACTGCTAGCTCGACTAAAGCGGAAACGTAGTGGTTGTTCTTGTATACATTTGACAACAAAGGACTTGATACATGGTCGAATGGATCAACTTCAGTATTCGTAGCCTCAAGGATACGAGCCAAGTCAATCTCGTCCGACGGATTGACGAGATGCTCATTCGGTAGATTCTTGTAGTTCAGTGTTGATAATTGGAGGTTGAGCTTGTCAAAGTAGGTGTTAAGCTCCTCGACGAAATGAGCATACTTGGAGTTTTCTTTTATCAAGTTTTCGCTCAACTCTGAGAGTTGGTTCGTCATTTCGTCATACTCAGATTTGAGAGCGTTCGCCTGGTTTTGATCTGGTTCACTATTCGGTAGCACGTCATTGTCAATCGTGTGTATGTTGTTGTGAAGAACGCTTGGATTGATGTCCGGTAGGGCTCTGGTCGATGATGGTGCAGCTCTACCATACTGTAAGCGGTAGGATAGATCCCTCAGATCCAAGACCTTATCTTTAAGTTGAGAAATCTCGATATTTCTCTTCCTCACCTCAATGTCATATTTTGTTTGAATCTCGCCAGTCCAGCTTTTGAGACGAGCCAACTCAGTACTCTGTTTCTTTATCGTCCTCATCAACTCAGTGTTACGTTTCTCTGCTAGCGTCTGATCCACCAGTACCAACCGGTCAAGTTTTTGCTCTTGCTTCTTATTAACAGATTCTAGGTGTTCCACCTTCTTCTCAAGCTCCTCAATTGTCTTATTCTTCACACTCACACTGTGGTACAATGCTTTCTGCTGGTCATTGTGTCGGTCAATTGCTCTGAGAAGCGAGTAAATAATGTTGATGATGTTTTTGTCATTGTCAAAAATGGTGTCCGTGACCTCAAGATTACGGAGGGCTTTGCGATCAGGTTGGTCTCTGATGAGATCATTCCAATCTATACTAGGGAATCTGAGTGTCTCTTTGATATAGCCTTTCGAGCGAAGTGTTGTATTGAGAAGCTCTGAGGCACTCTCAATCGGCTCGATGTTTCGTGCTTCGGACATAAATATGAAAAGGAATGGTTGTTGTAATACTGGTGATGTTATTGTTTTGATGCTCACTTCCCCATAGCTTTTTTCGATGCGATTTGCAACCATACCTAATGATTGTTTCACAATCATGCAGAATGATAGCTAACTATCGTTCGGTTGAAGCGTCACTTAAAGGGGGCCTTCTTCAATTCTACAATGGTTTTCTTCTTTTGTTTATTGATGCCGAGACAAAAACTCGCTCCGCCTGGCATCGCCTGAGCAAGCTAGTGAGTGAACTCTATTCATGAAACTAGTTTTATTCGTAAGAACATATGGCCACAACGCCGCCGAAGCCGCCTTGCTATGCTTAGTGGTGTTCTTCCTCCTCTGGGAACACGAACCAGTCCTCCTCACCAGCTGGAACAGAACCAGCAGCAGGAGCAGACTCGGTCTCAACCTCAGAAGACTCGTAAGCGTTCACGGCGTCAGCAGAAACCTCGTCAGAAGGAATCGATGGCTTGCTTGGCAACTGGAAGTGCTTGATACCCTCAGAGTCAGCGTTCACTGGAGTGGGCTTGAACTGCTTGATCTGCTGAATGTACAACTCGCTCACAGCATTGTGAGTTCTTGGGGTAACAGACAACAATCTTCTGGAAGACACAGCACGCTAAATGTTAGTACATGTTTTGACACTTGAAGAGGTGTTGAGGTCCGGGTCATCGAAAAACTATGGTGAAGAACCGAAGTGACCAGCCAAATGCGGAGCTTTCAGAATGGGAATTGAGTGGAAATTGTTCTGTGGACACGGATTTGCTTTCTCTAGTCTTTGTAACGGGGATGGATTGGCCATGGTGTCGGAAAATTCTATGTTCTGAATATTGGAAAATGTCAACGAATTGTCCGGAATAAGCGGTCGGAAATAAAGTCTCCTGCAATTTTGGATGGTCAATTTGAATTAACATACGATCGATTGCTTGAACATGGTGATATATGCTAGTTGTATACGAGTTCTAAGTGCGTTTGGCTTGAAAGTACTACTCAATCTTCACCGAGTCTCGGGTACGTGTGCGCACCGAAAGGCCTCAAAAGATGTGCCGTGAATTTTATTGGTCGAGTATGGCAAAGTCGGAGCACGTGACCAAGTACTGGAAAGAGTCGATAAAAGGTATTCAAACTACTTTGATTTTAAAATGAAAAACCCTTGATAATAAAAACCAAATCAAGCTATAAAAGATTGTAATTTGCAAGTCATTTGCTCTTCTGTGGGAGAGGAAGTCGTCCTAAAGTAGGTTGGATAGTGTGTAAGCAGTAGCACAATTAATTCTAAAAAAAAGCCCAGACATTTACAAACTTCAAGTCGTTATTGGTTCGATGTAGATTGCAAAAAAAGTGTTCATTCATTAAGTTGGGTGTATCGTTTTCCATTTTGCAACCATCGTGCCTGCACTTGAGTCCTATTCAAACAACCCCAGTAACTACATCACCATCATTAATACACCCACATAATGCCAAAATACTATTGTGACTATTGTAAGATTTATCTTACGCATGATACTATGAGTGTCAGAAAGTCACATCTACAAGGAAAGACACACATCAAGAAATACTGTGCATATTATGAAGAGAAGGCCAAGCAGCTAGGCATCTGGGATCTCAGTGAAAACCAATACGATATCGATCTAGATTATATATACAGCAGGATGCCTTCGCGAGCAAACTTCATCAAGAACAAACTTCGAAAAGAAGAGCTGGAAAGGACTGGCAAACCTATAGAGGAAGATGAACCTTTATGTCTTCCGCCTCCGCCAGTGCCAGCAGGAGAGACATTACCACCATCAGTTCTTCGATACGCTGAAGAAGATCAAAAGGCTATTGCGGTGCACATGGCACGGGAAGCACCCAGTTTATAGAATCTGTCTATTTCATAAATCTTACACACACGGCACTAGGCCATTACTTTTGTAACAATACTGGACCGACGTTTATTAAGGCTGCGGCTATACTTACAAGTCGGCGTCATCCTCATCAGGCAATGGCAAGGCAGTGGCCTGCTCCATCTCCTGCTGGTATTTCTGCATCAAGTCGGCGTCAACCTGGACCTCAGGAGGAGCCAAGGCTGGGGAGGCGACAAACTCCAATTGAGGGTTACCAACCAACTTTCTGGCCAACCAAAGGAAAGGCTTCTCGAAGTTGTAGTTGGACTTGGCGGAGATGTCGTAGTACTGCAAGTTCTTCTTTCTGTGGAAGGTGATGGTTCTGGCCTTCACCTTACGCTCCTTGACATCGACCTTGTTACCACACAAGACGATTGGGATGTTCTCACAGACTCTGACCAAGTCTCTGTGCCAGTTTGGAACGTTCTTGTAGGTGATTCTAGAGGTAACGTCGAACATGATGATACCACACTGGCCGTTGATGTAGTAACCGTCTCTCAAGCCACCAAACTTCTCCTGGCCCGCAGTGTCCCACACGTCGAACTTCAACTCACCGTAGTTGGTGTGGAAGCCCAATGGGTGCACCTCGACACCCAAGGTAGCAATGTACTTTTTCTCAAACTCACCGGTCAAGTGTCTCTTGACGAAGGTGGTCTTACCAGTACCACCGTCACCGACGAGCACCAACTTGAAAGTGGGGACCTCTTGAGTAGCCATTTTATCTGGATGATGTGATTCTGACGAGCGCGAGGATGGATTGATCCGTTTCGTGAAGAGAATCAAGTGGGAAGAAGAGAAAAGAGAAAGAAAACAAGGGAACAGGGTCGAAAAAACCTGTGTGCGATGACCTGCAGGCTGCGCTCTCTTCCACCTTAAAGAGGAGTCGATTGGATGGTGGTGATGACGATGCGGGCAGCCTCGAGGGTTGACAGACAAAAAGATACAAATGTAGAAGTTAATGGAAGAGCAAGCTAGGTGGATATTTCTGCTCCGCTAGACAGACACGGCCGAGGGGACAGGAATGGCATTGTCCGTCACGTGGCATAAGTCACGTGACCTGATCTGACGGATCTTGTTGCTGTTTCTGACCCACCCAGCACTGATCTCGTAGTCTAGGGCCAGTGGGTCATGGGGTGCGTTGGTAGGTCAGTTTAGAGTGGGTCCGCAAGGCTCGGTATGAATATCAAGATCATTGCCTGATCTGGCAGGGTGGGCAGAGTGCGGCTCTAGGCACCTTTCCACGCACGTTTTTCGCAACTATCGTTCGTTTGCAATCCGGCAACAGAGGCCTTGGCCTGGGAGTTAAGAATTGGTCATATAGGCAGCCGTGCGTGGATTGCTGGAATTACCTATTCCACAGAAATATGCCCGGCACGTCGCACGCTCCAGTCGTGCCTAACGGGTCGAGAATCACGAATCTTAAATAACCAGTGGCTTCACCTCGTCCGACCATTGCCATTGTTGCAAAGCGAGCTGTCTGGCGTGGAATGCTGAGAACTCCTTGAACCACGCGGATAGCCCCTCCGGCAGGGGGGTGCTTTTTGGAAAATGTAGAAATCCCACGCCGTCGAGCCAAATATTCAAACGAAAAGTCTCGGAGGAAATTGGTTGATTTTATTGATGGCCGCTTGTGGCTGCCAAACACGGCACCCTGCGGGTTTGCCCCTATCTCCCGTTTGGATGTTCCCGCAGGACGGTTTGCGGCCCTAGGCTGTGGCTTACTTTTTCGCAGCCAACCCACCAGGCACCATGGCCAGCCAGGAAGGCGATCTAAATAATGGATTTGGAAAAAAATTTATGGAAAATGACGGGAGCCGGGGTTCATTGTCCGGCAACTGAACAAGTGCTTGTTGTTTGCTCACCTGGGCCAACACGGCGCTTGGTCCGCTTCTCGACCCACCAGGGCCTCTCCACATACCCTCTTTAAACCTCCCAAGAACCGTCCACAAGGACTGTTCGTCACCTCCACAAAAGCTCCTCCAGTCCCTCAAAACCACAAAATCAAACACCTAACTCCTCCTAATTCCCTCCTCGTCCGCTGAATTATCCGTTTGCAGGCGCCAGACCACGCGACGGAAGATCCTAGCACCCCTGGCCCGCCTGAGCCCAGCCGTACTGGACCACCGTTGGCAACCGCCCAGCCATCGCATGAGGCCCCACCGCCTAAAGATTCCCACCTCCAGTTCACTCACCTAGTAGCTGCCACCACCGCCAATTCTGCCAATTCTGCTAAAACAGCCGCTTCTCCACCACCAGCTTCTTCGCCAGCCGTACCTCTTTTGCACCTTCTTGCCCCTCCACCTCGTTCTCTGCCTCCTCCCTAAAGCCGTCCTCAGCCTGGTGCTTCAGCAAGCATACACGGTGCCTCGAGCTGCGCGCCGAGTTGGGCCTAAGACACCCTTTCTGCCCAGCGCCTGTTCTCCCGTGCGGGCCCGGTGCTGCATCTTCCGCTGCACTGGTGCCAGAGCCGCCGCTTTTTCCCAGTCGGTGCTGGGTTTTTCCTTGCTCGACGCGGCTCATACCCATCAACATTCACCGTTCTTTTCGAATTCTGAGGAAACTTCGTATTTTGATCAACTTTGTTGTCTGCTAGGGATTTTCCGTTTTTTTTTTTTTTTATTATTCCAACTCGCCTCGTGTTTCCCGCTCGTCCTCCCTGGTCCTGGCTCGCTGTTCTCCACATTGGCCCGTTCTCACCACTTTTTCTGAGATCGCCAACCTCGAAAAAACATATCTCCCTACAACTACTAAAAAAAGCAACCCGTCCCCTTGCAACGCCCACAACCACCGCAAACGAACACTTATCCTTGCAAAGGCACCCAGACTGCCGCTGTTAACCCCCGCCGTCGCTAAACGCCCTTTTTTTTTTTATTAATTTCCAAAACAAAAGCACACTCGCTATGTACTCGGGCTACCTTTACTCAGACCCAAACCTACAAAGCTCCCCGTTCCAGGGCTACGTCCTGCTGCCGGTCGCCCATCTACAACACGGCCTTCCTTATCCGCCTGACAGCCCTTACTACCTGCTGATGCTTCCAGCGAATTTGCTTCAGACACCCCCTTATATCGGTCGCCTGTCCTACTTCCCGTCCCAGCCTCAGCTGCCTCAGGGCCAGCACGCCTTCCACCAGCGCAATATGCAACTGCTGCTGCTGCCTATCGTGCCGTATTTGACCCACCCACACGCTAAGCTGGGCTTGGACCACCTCAATCTTTCTCGCACGGTGATCCTCAAAAACCTTAGCGCCGACCTCTCGCTCAACGAGCTATTGTCCGAGATTGACCACGGTCCTATCGAGTACTGTAAGATGTTTGTGTCGACGCCTCCTGCTCACATCAAAGACGTGGAGGAGGTCAAGACTTGCTACATCTCCTTCGTCAACACCAAGGTCTCTGTGGCTTTCTTCCACAAGTACACGAAAAGCACCCAAAACTTGCGCTCCCTCAAGGAACGTCTCAAGGGCTCCAAGCACATGAAGCTTCTGCTCAACGAGCCTTGCTCTTCCATGTCCCTCAACGCGCAGCCCCCGGTGGGTCTGAACAATCTTTCAAAGCAGGATTTCATCAAGCTCAAGACACTCAACTACATTTTGGAGTACAACGCTACACGATGCATTACCATTAAGTTCGAAACTGCATCGCCTGATCTTTTTGTCCCTACCAAAGAGAAGTTCCGCGCCCAGTGCGCTAAGTTTGGCGTTATTGAAGATTTCAAGTCGTCCACAAGCGAACCAAACCTTACTGTCAAGCTTCTTGTCCACTTTACGTCTATTGATGCTGCCATCAAGGTCTACGAATATTACTCCAAGCAGGTACGCCGTGACCATGCTCGCGAACTTGATCTTGGTGGTTCCGAAAAGATGGCTACAAAGTGCTTACTCGTCAAATTCCACCGTGACCGTTGCGACCGCACAGAACTACAACCATCACCTCACTCGCTGACATCGCATTTCCCCAGGCCCCCAACAAACGGCTCGCAAGCGTCTTTGTCGTCCTCTCCTAAGGTCGGTAAGCGTCCCCTCAATAGCATGATCCAAAACATCCCCGAGCATGAAGAGTCGCCCGCAGAGGGATTCACTGATATTGATAACCCAGCTGTGGTGAGTCCTCTATCAAGCCCTCAGCACTCATCGGATAACATGGTCCCTGTCTTGACAACTGAGACTGAGCTCAGCAAGGATGAACCCAACTTGGGCTCTGTTGTTGAGGGAGTTATCGTCGGTAAAGATGATAGTGCCTCATTAGAAAGTGTCAGCGCGGTGGATAGTCATACCCCATCTCCAGCAGGAGTACCTCTACTGCCTAGTCACCTCAACGGGAAACATCACTACCCATACGCTCCTGACATTTCTGATACGCTGATGCAACTGGCTCACCCCATGTATCCCCCACACATGCCGCCAAACTCTCTTCCTGTGAATCACGTTCACTCTTATCAATATAACCCAGATCCATTCAATGTGGGCAACAGAACGATATTCTTGGGTAACTTGCACCCATATACTCAGATTGAAGAGATTGCTAACAACGTTAGGGCAGGTGGTCTCGTGGAAAGCATCAACTTCATCAAAGCTAAGCGAATGTGTTTCATAACGTTTGTTGATCCCGCTGTCGCTCTCAAATTCTACCTTAATCACCAAGTGTTACACCAATTGATCATCCATGGCAACGATGTCAAAGTTAGTTGGGGCAAGAATCATTCTGGTCCCGTAAGCAGAGATATTTCTTTGGCTGTTACAGCGGGCGCTTCTCGTAACGTCTACATTGGTGTGAAGGGCGCAAAGAGCGGATCTGATGAGCTGCTTCAACTTCCTGATGAGCAGACATTGCGCCAAGATTTCTCGAAGTTTGGTGACTTGGAGCAAATTAACTTCTACCACAACAAGGACTGTGGTTTCATCAACTTCACAAATATAACGAATGCGATTCGTCTCGTCGAGTTGATGGAAACGCATAATGTAACCAAGATCAAGGCAATCGTTGGGGACAATGGGGAATTCTACGGAAAGTACAAGAATTTCAAGATCAGTTTTGGTAAAGACAGATGCGGTAATCCACCAAAATTCAGCTTCAAGAAAAAGAATTCTAGCTTCGAGTACTTCAACCCAAGTGAATTCGATCTTTCAAGAGCAGATAATGGACAAGAGAAGGAATCACGCGATGAAAGTCCATTGAAACCGAAGGAGAAACCATCGGTTGAAGAAGACTCATTGATCACTGAGGAGGCAGCAATGGTTTTTGGTATTAGCACATCTCCTCCAAGAAAGTCTGCAACCTCTGTGGATTCTGACGACGAACCAGAGGGTCTCGCCAAAGACGCTGTGGCATCCCTGCCAGAACCTGCAGCGAGCAATGGCGTAAATGGAGGCTTTAAGTCTGAGACAAAGCCCAATGGCGCCAACGAAAAAGACAATAATGGTGTGGCGGATGCAAATGAAGAAGACGATGACGAAGATGACGATGACATATCGATCATCATTGGATCGGATGTGACGACATCTTCCAACAAAAACATCACACCTCCCAAGCAAAGGCGCTTTAGCAAATCGGGCTATCGCGACCACAGTGATGCTTACTCGCAACAGCATTGGTATGCATCTAAAAACTCCTCGACCTTGTCCCTCAATTCCAACCACAGAAATTACCTGGGTTACCACCCTCCAGCATTCAGCCCTATGCCTCAACCAATGTACATGGGCCCATATCATCCACCATCCATTCCAGGCTCCTCGAGGTCGAACAGCTTTTATGGTGGCTCCATGAATGGCTCGATGCCGCAGCTTGTTCATCACAATTCGTACTCTGGAAGTACGATGCCTCCGGCTAATCGCAGCCATTCCTCATTTTCGGGCTCCCAAGTTATGGCTCAGTACTTGGCGAAGTCGCAACATGACAATTTTATTTACGCAACAAGCATCTTAGCTAATGATGTTACACCTGAAGAAATGAGAGAGTATCTGTCGAAGCGGGCACAAAAAAAGGGTGCTCGCAAAAATGAAACTGAGAACAAAAACGTTGACAATTAGGTTCAATTGCAAAAATTAAATACAATAAATATTGATGTGAGCGAGGTCGACACTGTTCACACTTTGCGATGATACGTACTGTCCGTAGGCTGTGAGTTGGTGTGGTCCTGAGCCTTATAAGGCGGCGCCACCCATCAAGTCGTCTCATAAACGAAGGATGCGTATGTTCCGAGGATTGCTCCTGCAAATCCTATAACAATACCAACCCGAATAAAGATCTTTTGCGCACCTGACAACTCTTCGGCAAAGAATTTTAGGTAAAACATCAAAGGTAAACTGATGCAGATTGTGCAGCAGATTGCACTTCCCAAAAACGCCACGACTTTTCCAAATGATGTGAATACTAAAGACAGTATGAAGAGTAATCCCAAGAATAGTATTCTAGCCACCAACTTTTTTATAGTGATAGGGTGGTACCTCTTACCGTCCTTGTATGTTAAAACGCTTGAATCATTCATGCGGAAATGCTTCTCGTAGACAGAAATGATGGGGCGAACCACAAGTGATAATTTTGAGATTGGGAGTAATCCCAAGAACACGCAAAGCAAAGGGTTGATGAAGGACGGTAGGCTTGTGTTACCCATCAAGCTCTTGGTTAAGGAATCTTTAACCTTATTGCCGAACATAAGGTAGCCCACGACAGCGACCAAGAAGTCCATGTTCAAACAAGACAAAAATGTAATGTTGCAGCAGCTATTGTACTTCTTTGGATGTCTCATGTCTTTGTAAAGTTCGGGAAAAACTGGATGTCCACCCCACGGAGCCATGAATATACCAATACTTAGCAAGACCTCCAACAATGAACTTGGCCAGAGGCTAGTGGATGACGGATCCAAAAGGGAGCCCTCCTCCCCTTTTTTTACAATAAGACCACTGATGATAGCAAGGACAAGAATACTCATTGTGCTCATTATACCAGTCAAACTGACCATAGATAACACTGTGAGCGGCATGAAGCTCATGAAGAGAGTTATCAAGACAATTATTACCTTGAAAACACGTGCATCAACATCAGGTAAAAGAAGATGAAATGAATCGGCAAATAACAATATTAATGAGAGGGCAGCACCAGTCAAATCCAAAGTGAAGGTTATAGTTGCAAAGAGCTGCATGCGACTCCCTCCGTATAGGTAAGCAATGTCACCGTAAGTCAGAAGTTGAGGATTCCGGTTCAAGACGGCACCGAGAACCTTGGCCGTTACATTTGTAGTGGCTGCGCAAGCAACGAGGATTATCAGGCCGAGAACCCATCCCGAAAGTCTGAAACCAAATGAAAGCGAGAAAACCGCAATCCCCATAAGTGTGTTGACAGAATTAAAAACAGTTTGAGGTCCAGTGGAGTTTCCAGCTGGCAATGAAAAGATGCTTCCTGAAGTGCTGCTCCTCACGCTCGAATCTCTGTGATTCAAGGGAGTGGTCTCATCCCCTCGAGGAAAATCAAACGTATCAATATGGTCATATCCCTGGCTCGTCCTGTTTGACCGACGGCCGCCCACGCCTATGGCTGACTCCAATTGATCAGATTGGGGTGCTGGAGACAGGCAGGGGGATAAATCTTCTTGGAGGTCAGTTTCCTCAAACAAGGACAGACCAGCATAGGACTGGGCACGCGTGTAGGAAGATGCAAAGTTATTGATCGAGTTAGCACCACCATGATCTAGAAACGAACGCCTTCGTGGTTTTTGAATGGGAGCTGGCGATGACATTTCGGCTCTTATCGCAACAATAGATGCAGCAATAGCAGTTGCTGTATCCTGTGAGCCTCAAGTAGACAATGCCGAGAGATAACGGCTTTGTGACAGAGTCTGGTATTTCCTCCAGTGAACTTTGATGATCTTACGGTCGAAATGACTGTTCAGGTTAATGACTAGTGAGACTCGGGGAAAAATGGGTACATCAATAGCATGTCGCGCACATCAGGACCCTTGTTAATGCAAATGCACCGAAGAATGAGATGATTACGGTCGAATCTCCCTCTCAAGCTTTGAAAGGATAATTTGTGTTTGTGACTGAATCTCGATCAACCCCATCCACACCTCTCTTGCGACGGGTATATTCGGCTGCTGCAAGTACTCTGATCAGCGCACAAGCTGGGTCTATCCTTGCTCGAGAGAAAACTTTATGGTAAATACTTGAGGGAAGGAAAATTTTTCGTGGATACCCCGACCAATGAAATAGTCTGAAATTTTTGACGCTCGACCTCCTCTTTTACATTTATTCTCTCCTTCGCCGTGTACATTGCGTGGTGCTCCCCGACTTATTCACGTAGAGACCATGTACTTATCGGAAGCGCCTCTTTCATTGTTTGTTACATGAATCCTCTTTTTTCACTGTATATGTACCGAAGGTCACATCTTCAATTGCAAATCTCAATAGGAAGCAATGCCACACTCATTTTATTATTCGATAAACGCACAGTGATATTTTGCAAAGTTGTAGTACTGCCTTTCAAAGACTTCCAAGTTCAGGAATCTAGAAGGCGAGGCATAGACTTTTATATTGCTTCTTTAATTGAACAATTCTTGTGCCTCGTCCATTGTGACTGCCTTCTTTCTCAGATTCTGAATAATGATTCTTTCAAGCTGTTTTTTCCATAGTGTTTTAAAATCTGGAGTTTTATTCTTCTAAATAAAAATTTATAAAATCAAATCAGTTTTGTAGATGTGAATACTCCCATGCTATTTTCTTTTTGACTGCTTTCCCTTTTGACAGTCTTCAGGAGATAGATTTTCAATATTAATTACTTCATGACCCACGGGTGAAGATATGCTTCTTGCTACTTCATTGTCTTTGTTTTTTTTTTTAAAATATTATCTGAACGGCAAGTTGCCGCCGCCGAAGGCTGCTGCTTGGTTCCGAATATGCGCCATGATATGTACCTACCCCAGGCTTAACGCTTTCATTGGACGAAAAGAAACCTCAGATGCTCAGTGAAGGCCTAGCCCTATTTTAAAGCAAACTTCTTTCATAATCTGTTTTATATCGCTCACGATTTTATAGTTTCCGGAGATGGTGATCTTGGAATTATCCACATGATACTAGCATGATCTTGTCACTCCACTTCATTGATTAAGATTAGCAGTAAAGGTCAGTGTGCCTTGGCTCTTTCTTTGCATGGATCACTCTTCATTGTGGGCCTCTGCCATTCTACCAGGCCTCCTTCACATCTCTATAGATGCACCTCCCGCATGCGTTGTCGCTCGATCACAGCCCCACCCATTGATCTCGTTAGTGGTGTGTCGATCTTTGATACCGTGCCTAGAATCATTGTTTACTGGAATTCTTCTTTCTAATGGTCTGGGACCAACGGCTTCATGTCCCATGACACATGACTTTTTTAAAGCGATGCCTCTTTTGTGCATCCGAAGTATTCCGTTAGGGGCCTATAAAATATCGTCGTGGCCAGGTTTCCTTTCTTTTTTCTTTTTCTTTTTTCCTGTTGTATCAGTTTATTCCATCGTCATTAGGAGCATTATAAAGACGGCCCTCGCTAGCAAGAACTTAAGCAAGTCTGCAATTTTTGAGATTAACCATTTTGCTTCTTAGGACCACTGAGACCTTGAAAAAATCTTTCAAAAAAATTATGGTCTTCGAAAGCTTGTTTCAAAAGCTGATGAGTCAGTTTTCAGATATAAGACATTTCCATATGGAAAACTCTTTTGTACCACCAACAGGTAATGGGGAACTTGGTTCACCGTTTCAGCCTGAGGCATACGATTTCGGCAGTGCAATACCCGAGCCATATACTGAGGGCTATTTTTCCAATAGTGTTTGCAACCTGGTGAAGCAAGAAAGTCCTTGGAGCTCTGATGAGAAATCATCCGCAATGAGTACACCGTTTGCCAAAAGACCCACGCAAGAACAATTACCTGAAACACCAATATCAAACTACGACCATCAGTCTCAAAATTACGTTAACAGTGCTTCCTCGCTCAGGTCAGCTAGTTCTCTAACTAAGGTGAGCTCAAACAGCTCTCGTGTGAGCAGGAAAATCATCAAACCTTTAGTGGCTACTGTTTTCTGGGAGGAAGAGAAATCCGTGTGCTACCAAGTGAAAGCAAACGGGATTGTTGTCTCTCGAAAAGGAAGTGATGATTTCGTAAACGGAACAAAATTACTCAATGTCACTGGAATGTCTCGCGGTCGTCGCGATGGAATTCTTAAAGTGGAGAAGGGCAGAAGAGTTATTCGAAACGGCTCTATGAATTTGAAAGGGGTTTGGATTCCTTATGATCGGGCTTTGGAGATCGCCAGAAATGAAGGAATCAAGGACCTTTTGTATCCATTGTTTGTGGAGGACATTTATAGCTTCTACAAGGAGAAGGGCCAGAAACTCCGCGAGGAGCTGGATGATGATGATCTGTGTTGTGATCAATAGGAAAATTCAAAAATTAAGACAACAAAAAGAAACGGTCGGAATTTTATCAACTTCAATTTATACCCTTGACTGATATGATTTTGATTCTCAAACACTGACAAGTTCAACTTTCTTTTTCAAAATTCATGCGAAAGACGCACAATCCTTCGCAATTTGAATTACTCGAATAAATACAAACCTTTCTTTTTTTACATTTTGTTTTTGCTCAGGTAATTAAATGTGATTAGTCCTTTCTATATAAAACAAGTGGATGCTTTGAATGCAATCTTAGGGGTGCCTGTGATGAGAAGAGTACCAGAGCAGGTCATTATGAGAGTTCGCAGGAGAGGCAATCTGAAAAAACTTATTAAAAGATCTTCCTCATATGATGTAATCAATGCTTTGAATTGAAAAGATCTTCTTCGTCTGACTTTTCCCCAGGTCACGATGATTCTTCCCCAAATTTTCGTTCGAACTCAGTGGTCTCGGAGTTGACACCCGCCTCCTTAATATCTTCGTCTTCTTCATCTCTGTTTCTCTTGATAGTGGCCAATCTAAGAACATTGTTCTTACCAAAAACATTGACAGGATGGAAAGGAATGAAGATAAGTCCAGCAATGGCAACCATTGTGGCATCAAGCGTCATGAGGAATACTTCGTGTTTAATGAGGTAGCCCTTAAATCCCTGCTTTAATTCCACAACTCTATAAATGCATCTGATGTAGATCGTGATGACTGCGGTAGTCATGGCTAGGGGAAGATAAGGCACCAAAGGCCTGGCACGGATATTCTTATACTTTGGATTATAGAAAGGCTCCAAATAGGTCATTCTATATTCTCGAGCCGATCTTGTGTTGAAAAGAAACTTGAAGGTGTTTGTGAGATTCCATTTTTTCATGGGATGATCACCCTCTATGTGGGAGGCATCTTTGTAATACAAGCGGTGTAGAAATTCAAACCAAAAGATAAGGAAGATTGACATGGCAACGACCTGAAACAATATACCTCCAAACATTGTCCATGTGCCGGGAGAAGGATCTCTTTGTTCTTTGGTGGCCATTGAAGCTGCACCACCCCCTCCACCTTGCACAACAAGAGACAAAAAGTCCGTGGTGATAAAGAAGTATGAGTACCACATTGGCTTCAAAACTGAGTATGATCTTCCGTATAGGATGACTGCTTGTGCAAATAGAAAGTACACCCCTGCCATGATGAAGGCAGGAGAAAGTGTGAGTGAGACAAACTGTAGCAAGTAGTAGTCTAGGTTGGCAGTGTCGGAAAATGCAAGAATTCTGCCCAAAAACCCTAATACTTGCAAAGCGAATCCACAGAAGAAGGTAATGTTGTACCAATGGTACCGGGACCAAATCAACATAACGGTGGTGTATCCGAAGACCAAGCAAAATATGACAAAGAAGAAGATGTTGCCGCCTCTATTGAGCTCATAGTGGTAATTGTTTCTTTCGTCCTTCAACACCTTCAAATTCCATGTGGCGTGAAAAAGCGCCTCTGTAGCTTGAGCCAAAACCAGCTCCTCTGTAGCCGTTGCCAAGACCTGCTGGGCACTGATGGCCGATAAAGAAGCTTGTGCACCTCTGGCTGCCTCAGATAAGGATATGACATCAAGATGGTAGGTCTGTGTGACCAAGCTCGATACAGCATTTGCAAGCAGGCGAGTCAAATCAGGAATATTTTCAGTAGCAATAGAATTTAGAGTGGTGGTCGAGCTGGGGTACCCGCTGGAAGGGGTCCACTGTAGCCTCGAGCTGATACTCTCGAAATTCATCAGCTATAGGGGTAGTATCAAAGTGATTGTAGTGGGGCAATTTACTGCAAGAAACGTTACGTGCTTATGCAAGCGCTAAAGATTTGGGACTACATGGAATACGGGGGCGGGAACGGTGGAATCGGAAATTACCGCCTCACCGCCATATGTTCAATATTTTTTGAGGGTTAGCGGGGTGATTCTTTTTTTCACGCTCCATGGAGTCCCGCACAGAGGGTAGGCTATTTTGCAACCATTTGGCTGCATGTATGGGAACTCCGTGAGGTATGCTACATCAAATCCATGGACTAGTGTACATTGGTCTTATGCTATTAATTTGGAATGCAGGGTGCTCAAACGGCAATGTTGGTTTGAAGGTTGTCTTCTTGTTCGTACTCAATCTCCACCTTGGGTCTTCTTCTCTTGGCGGCCTTCTCTTGTGGAGCTGCACGCTTGTTGGAGCTGTCAGCCTTGTCTTCGTTGTCTTCGTCGTCTTCATCATCGTCGTCGGACTCGCTGGCAGACCCGTCGCCAAGCCATCTTTCGAGATCCTCCATGTCAACCAACTCATCATCGCCATCGTCCTCAACAAACTCAACCTCTCCTCCGTCGTCCTCATCACCACTCTCCAACACGACATCGTCATCTTCATCAAACTCCTCCTCGTCTTCGACCTCGTCGACCTTTCCGAGGACCTTCTTCCATATCTTCTCGTCCACGTTCAATGGTTTGTCGCCATAGGCACCACTCTTCAATCTCTCCAACAACTCCTTCTCGATATTCTTTTCGATCTTGGCAGCGGCCAAAGCCTTTCTTTCTCTGTTTTCTTCTCTTCTCTTGATCTTTGGCTTGATACCCACGTAGTGTCTCTCCTCTTCAGTCAATGCAAGTCTTCTTTCTGTCATGGCGACCTGGGTCAACCTGGTCAACCTCTGTTTGCACTTGTTGATCAAGAACTTGTTCCAGTAGATAAGGTTCTCATCGATTTGCTCCATGGCTTTTGCGAAGTTCTTCAGCAATCTGACCCTTTCCCAAAGGTTCTTGGGCATGTGAGCTCTCTCAGCAGTCTTCATGTAGAGATACAATTTGCCCTCCACGTTCTTCACTGTGGCGTATCTCGAGTTAGCCAACGGGCACGAGGCTCGTTCACACAAACCAGTGACATTGTATTCATTTCTGCAAAAGTCCTGACCTTTGCCTGTTTTGATCTTGAAGGCACAAAACTGGTTATTGATCACGTCCCAGATGAGCTCGTCTGAAGACATGATAGATGCTGATATAAAATTTGATGCGAGGGGTGAAAAGATGCAGCCTGAGAAACTTAAGATATCTCTTTAAAAGCTAAAAAGCTATAGTTGGCGTAGGTATATTAAGGGGATGAGCTGTGGAACCAATAGGTGATTCTGTTAAAATAATGCGAAGAGCTGAGCTAGAAAAAAAAAAAAAAGATAGATCCTGAGATGAGCCTACATACAAGTTGTAAAGCCCACCACACCAGGTGGAGGGTGGTCGTCTAAAATTAAATATTCATTTTTTGAAGTAAGTGGTGAAGTAATCGCCATATTTTGTTTTTAACAATTTGTCTTATTGCCCATTGAAATTCGACTCTAATCGTATTTCCTATGTTGGCTGCAAATCCATGCACCCACTCTTCATAGCAACAAAGCCCAATATAGAAGTTGCCCCGACTTTTAAATCTTCATATGGCACTCTATAACCTGTAGAATCACTTTGGAAGCTACTTGATTCGAGCTTTCTTTGGAGGCGATGTCCTGACAAGAGTACCTGTACTTGGCACCCACCGATGCTACGCCAAAAGTCCAATCCGACTTTATGTAATGCTTCAGTATCAGCTTCTTAGGCCAATTGGCTTCTTGGGTACTTGTGGCTTGACACGGACGACTTTGGGTCCGATCACAGACACCTTTGGGTTCTCCTCATTCGCCCTCCTTGAGAATGCTATCAACGTTATTATGACTTGATAAGGATCACTTCTCTCGAACAAGTCAATTGTCTGAAAGATCTCATCATGTGCCACTCCGAGATATTCGCAAGTCTTGAGGAAGAACAGGATGTTCTCCATTTGCACAAACGGCATTCTCAGGTTCTTGTATTTCTTGGTTGGGCCTTCTGGATAGGCAAGGTCACCAAGCTTACACAAATATTCCCCGTCCTTAAGAATGTCAATGAGATCCTGGTTGTGCTGTTCGAATTCTTGAACCTTGTCGTCTGCAACATTTAACGTGGTGAATATCCATTGCTTCACCTCGGCCTCGGACTTCTTGTACTTGGCGTCTCTGCTAAGATGCAAATCTTGATCCAAATTGGTCGAGGCATTTTGCCCTGACGCTGAAGGCTCTTTCCTAGTGTAGTAACTCATTGAATTCTACACCTCATCATGAGTTCGCGCTCTCTACTGGCCGTATTTTACCTGACTGAATCGTTCTAATTAACCCATATAAATACAAAAAGTTTTTGACGACTTAGGCTATGAAAACACTATCTCATCTTTAGTTGTGCAACTTCTTCTCGTAAGAGTGCAAGCCGTGAACACCACCCTCCAATTGAGCGGAGGCGGTTCTGAACTCGAATCTCACATCACCACCGTAAACCTTCTCTCTCAAGTCAGTGACAGAGGTGACACCAATGTCTTGCAAAGAGTGCTGCAAACCGTTGAACAAGTAAGGAATGAACTTAGTGATCGAACCCTTGTCAACAACGGAACCAGACACACCCTGAGCGACCAAGACCTTGTCAGCTTCAGAGAAGTAACGAGAAGTAGAGGCGTTGGCGTTGGTGTCAGTAGACTGCATGGCATCGATGGAACCCATACCTCTGTAAGTCTTCAATCTCTTACCGTCACGGTAGAAGTAGTCACCTGGAGTCTCGGAGGTACCAGCCAACAAACCACCCATCATAACACAGTCAGCGCCCAAAGCGAGAGCCTTGGTGATGTGGCCAATGTTACCAATACCACCATCGGCGATACATGGAACACCGAACTGGTGAGCGAATTCGCAGACATTGTAAACAGCGGTACCCTGTGGTCTACCACAGGCCATGACCTCCTGAGTGATACAGATGGAACCAGAACCCATACCGATTCTCAAACCATCAGCACCAGCCTCAATCAACAAAGCGGCCTGGTCTCTGGTAACGACGTTACCAGCAATGACCTGCAAGTGTGGGTGCTTCTCCTTGATCCACTTAAGCATGTCCAACTGGAAAACAGAAGAACCGTTGGAAGAGTCCAACA